TTTCTAACAAGCTCCTTCTAGAAGACTCTCATTAGAGGAGCGACCGGAGAGGCAGAATGCAAGCACGACGTACTGGGATCCCAACAACGAAGATTCCGCGCTCTCCCAACATCGACCCCACCTGCGACACCGTCCCTGGCTTCGAAGTTGAGTGAATGACATCGTCGGCATTGTCGGGGCCATCTACACGTCCTCTCGTCTCGCTATGCCTGTAGATGGTGGCCGGCATAGACATGGCGTCGGTGGTGTCGCGTTGGCAGTAATGGGAGCGACGTAGTGGGGGCAAAAGTCATCGCAGAGTTCCAAAATCGCGCACGAAGACTCTTTTGCATGCAGGGAAGGGAATAGAAGTGTTTCTGAACGTGTAATTGCAACGCTTCATCTGTTTTCGAATTTATCGTATTTACTGTATTTACTGTATTTTTCAGAATTTCCGAGTGGCGGAAAATGCCGCGGACAAGAATTTCCGAAATACCTGTAGGGCACCGATGGTTCCATTCACTCGCTACTCTAATCCACATCTACGCGCTGGCCGAACGAAATCGCAAGAGATTCTTTGTTTCGCGGGTCAGCTGTCCAAATAGTACGCCAAGAACCAGGCTGCTGACTGAGACTTTCGATAGGTCTCCTTCGGCGAGAAAATCGTTGCCGCGTTTATCATGTTGATGATGATCTCCAGACTCTAGGATAAAAACACCCCCACCACCATGAATCCCGCCCAACTCAAATCCCGAATATACGACCGTGTCGAAACTGAAGTACGTCATTTTCAGCGTGCACTCAGGGAGGGGGAAGCATTTACAGTAATTTCTGACGGCCTCGTTTGCTAGTTTCAAACCCTCCGCATCTTATAAACGAAAACCTATGTCGACAGAAGAAACGCGAAGCGTCATCGAACAACGGGTCAACGCCGTCTCTGCGTTCGATATCCCTGCTCTCCAGAACCTCGCCGCGCCGGGCGCCAGGTACTGGACGTCCGGACCGAAAGAAAAGATTCCCTTCGCCGGCGATCTCTCGTACGTTGACCGCATCGGCGGGATGCCAAAGGGCCTGGGACAGGTTAAATCACGCAAGTTCACCAACCGTGGGATCGTAGTTGAGGGGGACACGGGGGTTTTGGAGCTGCACCTCACTGGTGAGGCACCCGGTGGACACCCTCTCGACAATGGTGTCATGATGAAGTTCGTGGTGAAGGACGGAAAGATACAGGACGTCAGGGAGTATATGGACGCTACTTCCTTTTTCCATTCTTCATTTTAGGTGCAAGAATTCAGGCGGTGTAGCGTTAATGATTGGTTTCGGTGTTTCGCATTGTATGGTACATCAATGTTAAAGTTGTCTAAATATCTACATATGAATGGGCGATTAAATAGCGAATATGATGAGGCACGACCTGAGAAGTATATGGTACAAATGCGGAAAGGAAGAGAGTGTGAGACAGAAATTTAAACGCTGGTACAAGTATAGTCTGAGACGGGATAGAATGTTGGCATAGAGAGCATAAATGGCATATAAGGAGACAGAACGGGAGATGGAGGAAAAAAAGTCCATATTGTCGTAAGGGGAACGAGCGATTTAGAAGAAGCCCTGGTTGCCGTTGAACTGGTTCGCGAAAGGGTTGGGGTTGAAGAGCAAATGAGCATAGGGGTTGGCCGAAAGAGGCCGAAGTCGAGGCTGAGGCATGAACTGACCCATGGGCATACCGTTTGCGAAGTTGTACTGAGGAGCGAACTCGTTGGCAGCCTGGAACAGGTCGGAGTTGGGGACGCCCATACCCATGCCGAAATTGGGCATGGACATCGAGTTAGGCAGGGGCATCGAGTTGGACATGGGCATCGAGTTAGGCATAAGCATCGGCGGGGAAAGGGTGGGCTGGAAGGGCTGCTGCATTCCAGCGAAGTCCTGAGGCATGAAGGCGTTGCTGTTGAGGTTGATATGGACGTCCGCGCCAGGCTCGGCCTTCATCGGGGCGTTTAACATGACCGGTATCTCCTCCATCTTGACTGGAACGTTATATGCCATCGGGAAGGGCTGGATAATCGGCGCGGGGTCCACGAAGGTGGTCTGGCGCAGCATTTGATTGATCACCACAGGGTCGACAGTGGTCGTTGGCTGGCCAAAGAGGTTGCCAGTTGAGTTAGAAGCAGGGAAGAGGTCCGCAACGTCCGGCTTCACGTCAGCGGCGGCGGGCAGAGACACGGGAGGCAGGACTGGAGAATCAGCGGCTGCGGTGAGGTCGAAGTAGTTGTCCCAAACCCAGTGCAGCGGGTCCTCCACCTTGATCTCTTGCTTAACGTCCAGATGTGGGGTGGAGAGAGGGGTATTGAGGATGCTCGAAGAGGACGAGGCCAGAGAGGCGGCGGGAGACGGCAGTGCCAAGGCGCAAGAGGGAGGCTCGGGGGTGTCAAAGAGCTCGTCAATCTCCTCACTTTCAGGAGAAGGCTCTCTATCGACAAGGGCAACGATGGGTGGAACGGGGACAGCGGGCGTGGCGGGGACGGAAGGCTGAACTGGCGGTGTCACCTGCCGGAAAGACCCAAACAGGGTCGCCGCACTGGCTGGGTTCGGATCATCCGACTCGAGGATACGCTCGACGTGAGCAGGGACGTTGGGGTATCGCTTCCCGGCGGCTTTCTTCCTGGGCAGTGTCGCCTTGAACTCCTCCACATCGAGAGAGTTTTCGGCACAGTACTCGTCAATGCAACGCCTCTTATGCCGCGACAAGGCAGAGGGGTCTCCGTACGCCTTAGGGCACCCTGGGACCACGCAAGAGTACGGTCGCTTGTTGTTTTTACTAAAAGAGAGGGAAGCAATGCGGTGAGCACAAAGAAATAGGGGTGAGAAGAGTGGGACTCACTGTACTTTGTTGATATGAGCCGTCAAGTTACTTTCTTGAGTCGCGGTGTAAGTGCACTTCGCATAAATGCACTCATGCCTCCTACGCATAGAAATCAGAAATGAGCGCCTGCCAGACAATCAGGAGAGAAAAGCATACTCTTTAAGGTGTACATTGCCGATGTGGCGCTTCATGTCATACTCCCTGGTAAACCATTTATCACATCCGTCCCAGGAACAAGGCCACTATTGTATAGAGAACAATTAGTAAGCTTTAGCGTAAGTAGGTGAACAAGAATAACACGCACTTTGTATTTTGGGTCGGTGTATTGGGCAATTGGGACCCAGCGACTGCATGAGACCACGACGCTTTGAGAATGTTTCCCACGGTCGGCAGGCATGATGGGAATGCTAATTGTGCAAGAGATTGATGCGACCAGGAGGAAAGTGCGGGGAAAGGAGGCGGGAAGCCTAGTGCGAGTGCGAAAGTGCGATACGAGGTAAAGTTGTGATGCCCCAACCCTCCTCCAGCGCCCCGAACTTATACCTCTCAGAAAAACGGTGGATTGGTTTTGATGGACTTCCCCTCCTCCCTCGAAAATTCCCTTATCGAGGTCCAGCACGGCGCACTTGCCCTGTAAGGTAGTCGCTGGTCAAAGCGACAACAAGCGGCGAAGGAAACGGTCCAAAAAACGCCTTTTGTGGCCGCGGACACTGCCATCGCTTTTGTCTTTTGCCACCTATAGCAGGTCTCATGCCGCCCAAGCGCTGGCCCATGGATTGGTAGCAACCAAAGCGTGCAAAATTGGCTTTGTCGGGATTTTCTACCGTGTTTGGAAGGAGTCATTTTCGCCTGCTTAGGGAGAGGATGTCGGGAACGGTGTGAACGCGCCACGTGCGGCCGCGGATTGCCTGGAGTGCTCTACAGCTGCAGGGATGGAGGAGGTATTACACAGGCGCTCGGTCAGGCGCCTGTCAGCCTACGCACTGATAGTGGCGCAACCCATTATGGCAGGCCATAGTCGCAGTTGTTGCCAACGGTCAAGATTGGCTCGTGTGAGGTCAGGGTAGCCGGAAATAGAGCCCTTCAAAAATACCGATACCGGAGCGATAGATCGATGTCTCGAGACTGAGTATGTCGTAGAGTGCAAGGCTAGTGGAAGTACTTAGTTACAGCTGTTTCGGAGTGATGGACAAGGTTTTCCGAAACAGCTGTAAGCCAGTCATGAACTTCTTCTGGTTGGCTGATCCCGGCTATCACCGAAGCTTTCCCATCAACTTGATGGGGGACTTCAACAAATCGTCGTGCTACAATCTAATTAGAAGATGTCCGATTGGGACTCTGATCCCGCTCTTTCCAGGTACCTCCGTGGCGAAGGGGTGTTCTCGTAGATTATCCAGCAAAATTTGACTCAACAGAGCGATGTCAAAACCCTAGTCTTTCTGATTTAAATATCCACTGGTGGCGCAAGTTGGAACGATTTTGAAGGTACCTCGAGTTCACACAGATAAAGGGATAAGTATGTATGAAAGTATTGGTAATATAGGGCAAATGGCATATTTTAAACAGGCATGAATTTGTGCAGAGAATGGAAGAAGTGTGGTGGCGTGCCCTTTGAAGACGCAAAGACGGCGAAGATAGAGATGTCTAAGCGTTTCTGTATGTTTTTCTAACTTGCTGCGTTTACGCCTTGGCCACCACAACGCGAACAGGCGGGGGCACGATGTTCATGAAGTCATAATGAGGGACAAACTCGTCCCTGTCCTCGACCATTATCGGATTGGCGACTCCCATCGCCTCATCACAGTCAGGCGTAAACAGAGGCGGCACCGACGCAGGTGAGAGGACCTCTTGCATCCCGCTGGACTCCAAAGGCATCGGCATGGGTCTGCTAAAGGGGCCATCCGGCGCTTGTGGCGTGACGGCGCCGATCGCCATCGCGTAGGGATTGGGCGGCTGCGTGAAATCGGGAGGCGGAAACACCAGGTGGAATCCGTTATGCCGAATAGATGGGTAAGGGTAAGGGTAAGGGATCGGCGCAGGAACGGGACGAGATGCATAGAGCGGCATCGGGTGGAAGGGCTGGACCATGGGCCGCCCGGAGAGATGGCCAAGCGAGCCGGCTGCGGGGAGGATACCCGGTGGCATGAATCGTGTCCTGGGTACTGGAAGAGGCATAGGACGACGGATGGGAGGAGGGGTAGGAGACACGGCGCGGTTAATGGCGTTCGGCGCCTCTGGCCAGAGCTGTACCTCCTCCTCCTCGATCTTTATCTCTCGCTTTATCTCTAGCTCGACGAAGGACGATTCCAGAGAGGAAAGAGATGACATAGGTAGCGAGACCAATGAGCCAGTTCGCGGTGCTGGCTCGGGCACGGGCACAGCAGTCAAAAGCCCGTTGACTTCATCCTTCTCATGCATTTCTTGGTCCTGCTGACCATGAGACCCCTCCTGGTCGAATGAATGACCATATGCAGTGTCACGGTCTTGCCCCATAGCGTTGAGATAATCCTCGACCATTACCGTACCACTCGGAAAGAGGACCCCCATCGCATTCGGATCGAGGCCTTCCCTCGCGCAGTAGAGCCGTAGGCAGTCCTTGTGGCTGCCGAGCGTAGAGCCGCTGCCAGACATTTCGGTGCACCCAGGTACTGGACACTTGAAGGGACGCAGGCCGTTCTTGCTGTAGGATATGTAAGCACAAAGATACTGGCGAACGAGAGTGGGCGACGAGAACTAACTGCAATTTGTTGACATGCCCGATAACGGCTCCGAGCCTGGAGCCAGTGTAGTTACAGTCAGGATACGAGCACTGGTAGGCGCTAATAGAACGGAATTGCCAATTTTCAGCGTTCGCTGCCGTTAACGATTAAAAGAAGGAAAGAGACGTACGGGATCGAGCGCTCTGCAGGCATTATCGTGTAGTGAGTGGGAGAAAAATCAGTGTTGAAGGTAGGAAGATGGAAGGCATCCAAGCGCCTCGAGACGCGAACTTATACCATGAATATTATAATATATCACAATGGATTTGTTCCTGTCCTCCCTTTGCGGTAGCACAGCAGTCAAAGCGACGTTGTACTTGCATGAATAGCAGAAGAAAAGGTCCCATGCGGACGGGGACAAAGCACATGGGCTACATATAGTAGTGGTCTTTGTACTGGTAGCAATTATCAAAGCGCAGAAGAAGGGCGTTGATACGTACGCAAAGCGCATATGCATTTGGGTTGTTTCGACGAATGCATGCGCGAGGGCTGGGCGAGCTTGTCGATGCTGGCTCGGGTGTCGAAGATCTGAGAATCTGACTTCGGTCTGCTCATGAAGATTTTCTGCTTTAGAGATCAACAGGCGAGATACTCTACAATTTTATTTTCTGGTCTTCTTGCGTAGATCGATACTAACCTCTCAGGGCGTACGAGCGATCCACTCCGCATGCCTCTTCACCAGCTCCGCGACAATGTCTTCCTCGATCTCCTTGAGAGGGAAGCCAGGTGTTTGATTCGTATGTGCGACGTTGATCCGGAGCCAGTACTCCGAAAATTCGTCAGAGCCATCGGCGGCAGGCTCAGGATTAGGAGGAGGGCCAGGTAGGTATTTCTTTGAGACGAAGACGACCTCGAACTTGCGCCTGTGCAGGTCGTTCCCGATCACAACCTGATGTCCGTACCGCTCAAGTGCTTGGCGGGCTTTTGGCAGGAGGAGATTGTCGTCTGTCTCGAGCTACGGGAGAGAATGCAGATAAAAGAGTGAATTTGAGTATAAGGCAGATATCTAGGAAAAGAAGAAAAATCAACAAACCTTGAACGAGATCACGTATCCCCCTTTCGTCCAGTTGTCCACCAATGGCTTGAGAATTTTCGGCACTTGGTCCATCTCTATTGAGAGGTTGCCCTTGCCTGACTGGATCTTATGTTCAGACTAAGCACGCCACAACCCCAAAACTTTGTCAGCATCGTAAAAATAGAATCTCAGCAGAAAGATAAGATACCATCTTCTGCCTCGGCAGGAAAAAATCGCTGACGGCGGCTGCGAGGTAGAACATCGCCCTTCGGCCCACGACTGCCAGCTCCTGGCTGAGCGCACGCAGAAGCCATAGGTAGTCGTCGACGGTGACGAACGTGAGAGTGTGCAGTGTCCCGAGGGCGTGGACACGTTTGTATTCCGTGAGCACGTTCAACAGGTCGTGTCGCTTGTTTGGAGTCACCGAGATACGCGGGTCCGCGTCAGGAGAAGACGGAGACGGAGGATCAATCTCAAGGAAGTCGAGGAATGGGTTCGTCGAGTGAGAGTAGTGTCGGCTGAATGGCTGTAGACTAAATTGTCGGTGCATGAAGATAACAGCGTAGCCTGCCTTGAGGAAATATTCTGCAGAAGTCGCGCCACGAGTTCCTGTGGTAAAGAACAGGATTACATTCGTGACATTCTGAGAGGGAAAGTGGGCCTACCAGCACTGAAATTGTCCAGGAATCGTACACTAAGGAGGGCAGCGAGTTCAGCTGTGGACTGTTGGGGCGCGATAGCAGGACGCGCTCACACGTTGAGCTCCAAAGGCACCGTCGTGCCACCGCTCTAGGAAATAAAAGTCGTGAAGAACTGCTACATGTGCGATAGGACACAAAGACACACCGTCACCAGAACCACATTCCTGCCTTCCTTTGCCTGTCTCGCCACGAACTCGCGCACTTGCTCCACGTCGTGCTGGAGTGTCGGTGGGGGTGGTTGTGAAGCAAAATAAGCCTCCGCCGAAAAGGACATGCTATCGATGGACGATTTAGCTGCTCCTTCAGGGAGCGGAGGGCCCTCGATCTGCGAGCCTCTGGCCAAGGCTGTTTGGCCGGGGATGCTGAGGGGGTGTGCGACGTTGCCGGGGAACACGCAGTGGTTATCGGAGGCAGCGGTACCATTGGTCGCGGAGCCGGTCCCGGCATGCCGGACCTTGATCAGTGGCCGAACACGCCGATCACCACCGAAACGCCGCGCATGCACGCACACACGCACAACGTGGCTGACGCCGCTGAGCGCCTGTCTTTCAATCCCTTCAGGTGAACTTCACCTATCCAGGAAACTCAAACGGCCCGCTTATTGAATCTTGTCACATAACAACACCGCGAGGGGCGGAATGTCTTGGCGAACGATGCACCAGCACAGGGCGGAGGAATAACGTAGGGACGGCTGCCGCCCGCGGTGGATCACAAATCCTTGAAGCGGTAGCTTTTCACGTTCTCGATGATTCCGGCCTTAAATACCGTCCAGGGGGTCGATGACGATCTCCAACGTTATTGCTCGAATCCAACACGCGTCCCTTCTTCCTTCCGCGCTCAATTTTAAATTCAGACTTGAGACATGGGCAACTATTCTGCGTACAAGTTCGACCCATCAACGGACGTCCTCGACCTGACAGGCAAGGTCGCCATCGTCACTGGGGGAAAGTGCGTACCTATTTCCCATTTTTATGTACTTCAATACCGGTATTCATGAACTGCACAATACAGCGGAGGCATAGGCCTGGAGACTGTCAGATTGCTCATTCGGGCGGGGGCGAAGATCTACCTCGGCGCGCGGAGCAAGGCACGGGCAGACGAATGCATCGCCCAGCTTGAGCGCGAGAGTCTTGGACCGGGAAACGGACAGGTGTCGTGGCTGAAGTGCGACTTGAGCGACCCGAGAGACGCGAAGAAGGTGGCGCAGGAGTTTTTGGAGAAGGAGGACAGGTTGGACATATTGGGTGGGTGTTTACATTTCTCTTGCTCTCAGAGGAAGAAGAAAGCGTTGACTTTATGGGATATTTGATAGTGAATAATGCAGGGATGTGAGTCTGTTGATACAATGCCAGTGTTGATTGTGTTCATCATCGACGGTTTCTGTTAGGATTTCAGGACCACACGTTATAGGCCCGGACGGGGTATCAACTATGGCTATCGTGAAGTACGTATTCAAAATTCAAAATTCCTTGTATATTCTTCTCTACAGTGTAACCTCACCTTGACGGAATACAGCTACGTCAGCCCATACGTATTCACGCGTACCCTTCTACCACTTCTCAAGAAAACAGCCGCGGAGCCAAATTCGGATGTTCGAATTGTCAACGTGAGCGCTTATTCCCCTCCATCCACTTCCGCCTTGAATTATCTCCATCACACATTGATTCTCATTTGTCGCTTCAAGGTCTCTTCGCTACAGCACAAAAACGTCCCTTCGTCCGTCAAATTCGACGACGTCAGCGACTTTAACACTGAGTACCGCTGGCAGCCGTTGGCGGGCCTCAAGCGCTATGGTGCGTGGCATTATACAAGACAGATTATCGCACTCTCACTCTCCTTAGGACACTCCAAACTGATGTTCACGATGTGGTCCAAAACCCTTCAAGAACAACTAAACTCTTCCACCTCCTCAATTACCGTCATCTCCCTCCACCCAGGCGGCGTTGACACGTTCTCCCAAAAGCTCCCCTTCCCCTCCTTCTTTGCGTGGGTGTTCGGGTTCTTTACAGTCCCGCCTAGCGTCGGCGCGTGGACGCCTGTCTTCGCAGCTGCGGGAAAGCGCATCGCGGAGAACAGGGGCAAGTATGCAGGGCAGTACTTGGAGGAGTTTCCGACGGGCACGATCAAGGAGGTTCATTCGGCAGTGGTGGATCAGAGGAGGAGGGCGGTGTTGGAGAGGGTGACAGAGGGATTCTTGGAGAGGATTGGGATCTGACTCTGACTGAGAGTATCATTTTGATTGCTTTTGGTTAATTTGATGGAATATTTGCTCGGTGCTGCATAGCGCCACCGTCGAACGAAGGGAGACTGACCAGGTCCGGCTGGGGTCCCGATCAGGCAACCTGACTACTAAAAACGGACTCCCCAATGTAAATCGCTCCTCGGAACCCCCACACATCGTTGTTGGGGTATTTTTTCATGTGGCCTCCCCCCAAAAAAGGGTGTTCGATCATATATATATAAAAGATTCTCTTCTTTGTAAATATGTCTTTGCTCCAGACACCCATCATCCCTCAAGGCTTCAAGCTTCAAGCTTCACTAGTTGCCCCAAATCAGTTGTTCCTCTTCCCTCGTTCGGCCTTCGAGCTAGCCCAAAAACGATCACGGTCTCAAGAAGCCAAGCAGGGCAATAAGGATCAAGTCAGTGCATTAAATAGATGGGGTAAAGATTTAATGCAATTCACGTTCGAAGTATAATTCGTACACAGATTGATTTCATTGTCGTGAGGCCCACGGTATAGACATGCCACCGAGTTGCTACCTACGTCCAGTCTTCAAGTTCGCATTCAGTCAGAACCTTTGCCAATGTATCGAATCTTCATAGGCATGGTGGGAGCGACGCTATTAATATCAGTCGTGGGAGTCGTGACGTTGCCCATGTGCCAGTGAATTTCTTTCTCGCCGAGGGAAAACTCAATGTCCTCTAGGATGGTCGCAAGAACCGACTCTGTGAGAAGCAGGGACGTTCTTTAAGCCGCCTATCTGTGATGAAGAGAATGCAACCCACTCATTTCAAGCTGGGAGAATTTGAACCCGCTGGAGTAATTATCAAACGGTATGAGCAGGTGTCGAGGCACAAAATAGGTCGAAGGATCGGCTTACATGCAAGACCTGCCTCCTGATATGAATGTCATCCTGTTCTCGCATCCCATCAGCAACCATTCACGCGCGAAAAATGTGGATATACAGCTCACAAATGTGAATAAATCCCAGGAACGCGGGCTTTGATTAAGACTTCGGGGAGAGGCTGCAACCACCGGTCAGGCTTCCACTCCATCGCATCGGGGCCCCACAGCTCCGGGTTCCTATTCGATCCCAGGATAGAGACAATGATTTGGGTGCCCTTGGGCACGGAGAGCGAATGAATTTCAGTGCCGTCGATGCCTTTGATGGGGGTGCTTAGAGGCAGGATCATATCGGCGGTTGTGCTACAAAAATGTCAGGCGATTGAGAAAGGAAGATATTGACAGCGTAGCGTACACTCTGTCCACTTTAGTGACCGGTGCGTAGCTACAGAACGGAACCACTTTCAGTATCAAGTCGCTCAGTCGAACAATGGATACTCACAGCCGAAGGGTCTCGCGGCAGACTGCATCGAGGTATGGAAGGGCAACGAGCGTGTCATGGTCGGGGTCTTGACCGCCGTTCTCTTTGCGCGCGTCCCTGACTTCCTGGCGAAGCCTTTCCTGGACATCCTTGTGCGTGGCAAGAAGGTATAGAATACGACTGAGAGCAGACGATGTCGTGTCGACAGCGGCGAATGTAAGTGACCTATGAAAAATGTTAACGATTAAATCCGCAGAGACAAGGCGAGCTAGTGGTCTTCGACACTCACGCAACTTGTCCGAGGAGCTCGTTCTCCTTGAGCCGTTCTTTCTCTGGTGCGAACATGTTCGCCTTCACTATCCGCCGCACGCTCAGCAACTACTCACATAGTATGAAAACCAAAGCTCTCACACAAAGCACTAATCAGATCCTTGCCTTGACCGACTTCATCCTTGGCAGCCTCATCTCCTGTCAAAATCGCCGCCTTCTTACTTGCCAGAATCTCGGTAGCCGTTTTGTTAATAGTATCAACCACGAACGTGAGGTCGACGACGGACTTGGCAGGTATCAGGTCGACGAGGAATCGACCGAGGCGTGGCCAGTGTTCGAACTTTCCGATCCAGGGCATGAGCAACCGTCGAAGGGGCGGAATGGAGGAGGATAACGGTCTGAGCTTGGGGTCAGCGTAGCACGAGGAATGAAGGTCAATCTATAGAACAGGCAGGGGATACGTACAGAAGCATCTTAGCTGCGACCCCGAAAGGATGTGGCTGCGTGTCCGTGGTAAGTGTGTCAAACGAACACCCGAGGCCACTTTGACCGATGAGCTCGAGAGCGAGGCGGGACATCCATACGACAACGTCAACCTGTTTTAGTTATTAGTAAATCAGGGCTTGAAAAGAACAACGAATGTTGGAGGGGCACACCTGTTGGTCACTGTTCTTCCCGAGGTCTTGAAAGGTGACATGGAGGCGGTGGCTAACTTGGTAGAAGACGTTTACTGCAAACGAATTTATATTAGCAGAGCCCGAAGGGTATTTTTTGTCAGAAGTACCCATCTCCCGTAGGTGTGCAATCGAAAATGAGGGCATGACTAATTTCCGTTGAAGACGGTGCCTTTCGCCTGTGTAAGGAACGCATAAACGAGCACCAGGGTTTGGAAGCCAACACAACCCACCAACAGATGTGCCAAGTCCTTGCCCGAAGAACATACGGTTCGTTCTGCAAATAAAACAAACCGTCAGATGCGCCGGAATGATTGAAATGGCATTAACTCACTGCACAAAGTCATCGCTTTCCTCGTAGAATTGTTGATCCTGAAAGGCCATGACTTCAGTTATGACAAGGATAGAACCGGGGCGACTTGCTCGCCTTGACGAAAATATGATGCAGAGCCAATGGATCGTAAACATATAGACACGTTGCCTGTTAAAAGAGAAAAAAAGTTTTGCGATCATTTCTCAACGTTCCTCCATTTCAAACGCACTCCGAGCAATCCCTTAATCTTAACCACAGAGCCGTCTTGAGTCTTTCCGTCAGCGTCAGTAAGAAAATAATGAGCGAATGTGATCTTACAATGATCTGCGAGATATTGATGGTATTGCCACCCACTGTTCTTGTCAAAGATATCGTCGAAACAACCTGGAGGGTACATGAAAGAGGGCGCTCCTTGTGAAGGGATAATTTACGTACCTGTCAGGAAAGATTTCGGAGCAGGCCCTGGCAAATGACGAAGGCCTTTCGGAGTCAAAAACCCTCCAAGAAGCTTCAGCAGCGACCAAGAAACATAGATAAGAGCCAGGCCTCCCAGAACCTGGTAGGGAAGAAGGGGAGTTGACATGACTAGGGGGCACTGTGGTCTGGAAAACCCGCACCTGTGCAGATAGATATAGGGAACAATCGAAGAGCACGACGTAAGCAACTCTGACGAGAAAAAAAGCAATGCGGATCACCGCAACGCTAGAACATAGTGTGTAGAGCCGTTTGTGTCCAGAAGCCAGAAGTATCAGGACCTCTGACTTGCAGTGCTTCTCTCTAGTGCGGGGTATGAGCCTTCTCCGCGTCCGATGATAACAATTGGCTCGCCGCTGTCAAGTTTCGAGGCTTGAAAATTGACCCACTCGGACCTTGACCGTACACAGTGAAATAGAATGATCCTTGCTTTCGAAATAACCCGAAGTCGAATCCTGATCGACGACATTATCCTTGAAGCAGTGCTCCGATAAGCGGCCTCTGGTGGGACAAGAAGGTCCACGCCGACACGGCAAGAAGCATATTTCCATGAAGGAAACACCCTTCAGCTGCCACCAATTGGGAGAAGTGCCATCTGTAGGTCATTGTAATCGGCAAAGTCTTCTTCGTTCCGACGGCGATTCAGATTGTCGGAGTGGGAGTCGCTTGCCTGGTACGAAGCCTCATGATTCGATGGTCTTTAGGTAAATGTCCGATTATGAGTCCGATGCTGACGCTACACGCATTGTCGAAAGACATATATTTGTCCACAACGACATTTCGCCAGACAAGGGTGGAATGGAAGGCCTCGGGCATCTTGGATCCGTTTGGCACTGATTCAAGTTCACCTGCCAGTTATTATTAGCCTGGCAGCGCTGAGAGAAATTGTGTCATATCTAACATGAGAGAAGATACCAGCCATTTTGCAAGGGTTGGGCCGGCACACTTCGAGGACTAAAGAGTAAAATTCAACTTTAAGTTGTATGGAGGTTCGAGATGACCAGTGACCAGTGACTGGCAAGCAACGGGGTTTCTCGGCATTGGGTCTGAGGCACAGCCACATACTTAGCAGTATCCATCATGACCGTCACTTGTGCAATGCTTGTACAAGCGGTATCTTCTCCTTACCCACTGAAATCTCCTTGAGCACCCTGAGCCGACTGGAAATCTGCACGCAGCCAACTGAAGACAGTCAGAAATTCCGAAAGTGATATAAAAGTACGTCTCTGACTCTGGAAAACGTTGTCAGATTATTGGTCCTGAAATTTGAAAGTGGAATCCGTGTCTAGCCAGCCACCGATATACTTTGCAGTCAATTTGCTATCAGAAATAAAGCAGCTTTCTTCCGGAGAAATTTCTCAGTACATTGAGAACCCAGCCACTTTCCGCCATTCAAATAATGCAACAGCATCAAATGGAAGCGCATATACAGAGGCTGCGGTGAAAGCTGCATTGCGGATCCATCGATACTCCCTCGAACATGGCCACAGGGACATAGCATATGCATCGAAGATGATTCTAGACTCTATCGATCTCTCCCGTGAACCCGGATATTCATTCTTCTTCCATCTCTCGGCGACTGGCTCTGTGGAAATCTTCGAAGAAACGACAAATCTACATTATCTCAACCTCGCTATCGACCTCCTCGAGCTGACCTTAGCCGTCGATGACGCTGGATCTCACCATCATATCCTCACTTCCGTGTCTCTCGCCTCCGCTTACCTTCAACACTACCTTTTAGAGAAGCACGCTCCAGCATTGGAATCTGCTCTAGAAATCTTTCATGGTGCCCACCAAAGCCCTTCAATCCTTCAATGGACATCTAATTTCGGTGATACAAGGTCAATCTTTATCATCGTCGACGTTCTCCGACTTCGTTACGACGACCTAGGTCCCAGGTCTGAAGATCTATTGCGCGGCGTGAAAGCTGTCAAATCAATCCTAAATTCTGTTTTGCCTCCTTCGGACTTCAAATACACGGCTTTTCAAGTTCTCGTCGTCAGCGTTATATTCATCCTCTCCCAAGCCCTGAGTCGGGACAAATGGTTCGAAGCGCTTTCACTCCTGCAAGAAGCCCTGATCGAAGGCTCGTCGTCAAGAACTTCCTCACCTGACGCCCATGACGCTTTATCTGCTGCACTCGACTGCTGCATCCCGTCATCCAGTGCGAAGACGCTATGCATCCTTCATCTGGCCGATACCCTCGATCGCCGAGGAGACTTTCCAGCGCTCGATAGAAACACGTACGACGTTCAACGTGGATGGGATGAAGAATGGGAGTCGGCTCTTTCGTTTCTTCGCAGCAAAATCAACTACTCTTCCCCATCGACGGCTGTTGTGACCAATTCCTTTCAAATTTTCGAGCTCCAGGCAGAGTCTGCATATCGACGAGAACCAGGGCGGTTAAATTGGAAGCCGCCCATTGGGTCGCATAAATGTACTTTCGTTGTCGCTCCCGCTTTTGTCAACACGATGAACGCGAGTGAAACTCCAGATGGCGGTGCGCATGACTTTTACTTCGCCTCCTCGTCGCTGATTGTTTCTATTAGTTCTGGAAGGTCACCATCGCTTTTTTCACCATTTGAAAGCTCTAATCAAGCCGCTCACGGACGACGAACTCGACTATCTCATCCAAAACCCGGAGACGGTGCAGGATCTGCTCTCCATGTCCGCTTTCTTCCGATCCTCGGACGATACCATGGCCTACTGGAAACGATCGCCAGGCATCCTTGCATACGTGATCATGAAAAGAGACCCAACACACGCTGCTAGGGTCAAAGAAGCTGCCCGCAGCATGCTCCAAGTCAATCTGCAGCTGGAGCCAGCCTATACCCATCTGTCGCTCAGCATCGCGTCCGATGTGAGGAGGTACGAGGAGGATTGCGCTGATACTGCCTCGCGCCTGTTCAAAGAATTCCTCCGCGTTCAACAGCGCGGCACACCAAGGCACTTGTTCGCGATTATCGAGTTGGCCTCAGGTTACATTGCGGAATACTTTGCGAGCACAAAGCGTCGAACGACGCTCTTTGTTCTTGCCCTGGAGCTTTTTAGGGAAGCGACATTGATCACAGGTTACGAGCCATGGACAGTAGAGGCGAGGAAGATCATGGTTCTCGGGCGCATTTTGCGATTCCGGTATAGGTTCTTCGAGGATCCGGACGAGTCGATGGAAACGACGATCGCCCTCTTCGGCAACCTTTGGGACATGCTCCCTGCAGGCCCCCCTTTCACCGCCTCTGTTCTAGAGGTAGTCGCCACCCAGACGGTGATTTACCTGGCGCAGCGGTTACCCTCTGATCGATGGCACGCAGCTCTGAGACTCTTCACTATCGCCTTAGACCTCCAAGTCTTTGGGAGCATGCCAGAGGAGGACAGCTTCAAAGACATCGAAGACGTAGGGGCAGCTGCTGAAGACCTCCTGAATAAAGGTCATGACGCTGGGGTATTCCTGCTGCCGTCAGAAGCTATGTGCACCATCCATACTTCGGATATTATCCGTACGATTGTTCTCGATTGTTCGCGTCACTCTGGCATGGTTCACCTCGTGCTTCATCTGTATTCCAAGAGCCTTCGTATAATTCCTCTGGATATGGGCACTCGGCGGACTGAAAAGGAACGAGAGCTGCTTTTGTTGGCTGAGACGGAGCGTGCGGCGTTGAGGTCTTCCTTGCTTTTATGTGTCCAGAAAGCGTCGGGCGGAGAGATTTGGTGCGAAGAATCGGCGATGACAATCTTCAATTATCGTGCGGTGAGGATCACGCGCCAAATACGCCCATCTTCAGGTTTGAGCCACGTCTGTCTTCTGAGATACTATCCCATCTTGACACGCCAGGTGTACACTAACGACTCCGATGGTGATCCCTCTCCTTCGTCGTCACACCATCTTGAAGGTACAATCGAGTTTGACCCCGGTACACCATGGCCTGATGATCTGCTGTCCCGATCCCTGAACGCTTTAGTTCCTGACGATCTACGAAATCTGCCTAGCACCGTTGTCCCAGGCGTTCAAGATCTGACGGTCGACCAAATTCAAGAGCTCTTTGACATGCCTTTAGAGGCACGGACCATCAAAGCCTTCATGGACGACGCTGATCTCGAGATTCGCTCCACCGAGGGAGACATGTCGCGTATATCTGAAAGGATTGTGCATCACATGGGGGAGAAAACCTATTTCAGCGCTCATGATGTCCGGTTAGAGAAGAGAGTGAAGCAACTCAAGAAATTAACGCCAGACCTCTCCCGGCTGGTGCCTCTTCAAGCCTTGCTGTCCCGCGGGCCTGAGAGATGTCTCGAGCTCCTCGAAGCATCTCGCTCATTCTTCTGGTCTCGGTTACTGAGGTTGCGCACCTCTTTCGACGACCTGCCCCATGAGCTCGCATCCGACCTCAAGCAAGTGGTGCATGCACTGGAAGAATGCACCTCCCAGACCGTCACATCGGTACCGAAGGAAGAGGTTGGGAAACAATGGGAACTGGAGACCCACTTTGCGAGGCTTCTCAATCAAGCGCGGAAGATACCCGGATTCGAGAGGCTCTTGAAGCCCAAGACTCCCGAAATGCTGTTTCGCGCGGCAGCAGAGGGCCCAGTAGTCGTACTCATGGGGATGAGCTCGATGTACGCTGCACTCGTCGTGCGCCAGAATGGTGCCGAAGCCGTATTTTTGAAAGGTCTCGTGGATGGGGTATTGGAAAAGCTGGTTCTAGGCCTGAATGGAGCGACGAATGATACCAGCCGTGTGGCGAGAGATGTTGATACAGAAAGATATGTCCGAAGAAGCAGGGGAGCAACCCCGCTGTATGAGACGTTACTCGCCAGTTTGTGGCAGCTTATCGTAAAGCCCGTTTTTGATTTCATGGGACTAACGTCGGTGAGTGCATCTGCGGAGGATAACGCGGGCCATTAATGATTCGTCTAGACATCAGGCTCAATTACGGAACGACAACGTCTCTGGTGGTGTCCCACAGGTCGCTTCGCTTTCCTTCCAGTCCATGCTGCCGGAATCAATTTTGGAAAGGCAAACGGGGAGTATACTTCGAAATATGTGGTCTCCTCTTACACCCCCACCCTCTCGGCCCTTATCTCCGCTCGACTCCAAAACGCGTCTTCGCCTCCTATAGTCAAGGACCTCAAAACTCTGATACTGGCCCAACCTACTACTAATGGCCATCAAGATCTTCCTATGACTTTACACGAGTTGGAATTAGTTGAGAAGACCATTCCACCTCCATCCCTCTTACATGTTGGAAATGGGCGCATATCGGAGACGAACATAAACCGGACCGTCGGGGAGGCCATGGAACACTTGTCCCAAGCATCCATTCTCCATCTGGCTTGCCACGGTCATCAGGATCGCATCGATCCGCTAAGCAGTGGCTTCGAGCTGCAAGATGGACGCTTGACGATAGCGAAGCTCATTAGTTCCCAGATGCCCCATGCCGTGCTGGCATTTCTGAGCGCCTGTGAGAGTGCTTCGAACGATCTCGACGTCCCGGACGAGGCTTTGAATCTCGCTGCTGCAATGTTATATGCCGGTAAGTTAGGCTTGTTCATATCTCACGAAACCCGTGCCAAATATTCGTATCACAATCCAGGATTCCGAAGTGTCATCGGGACTATGTGGTAAGCTCCTGCCTGGGTGTCGTTGCGTGCAACTAGTATGTTCTGATAGGCACTTTTTACTTGTCCAGGACCATGAACGACGATGATGGACCGGAAGTTGCTTGTATGATCTATAAAGAATTATTCAAGAGTCCAGACGATCACCTTGACCCCAAGGTTATAGCCCGTGCTTTGGATTCAGCAGTACGAAATCTCCAAGCGAAAGGGGTCCCGCCTAGTCGATGGGCAACTTATATCCATGTAGGAATTTGACACCTGTCGTCCATAGCAAGGATGACGGGGTGTAACAGAAGTCCTGCATTAGTGCAGTGGTATGTATCTAACACTCCGATGTGGAGCGTTGAGTTGATCTGATTGTGCAACCTTTGGGCTGACAAACCTAGTAAGTGTGAGACCATCAAAATATATGGTTGAAGTGATGAGATTGTTCATGGCCAATGAATTTCTAGGCCAGTGAGAACGAACCCAGCCTATTGGGAGAGTCCCTTGCTACCACTCGTCTGCTAATTTTGCTCAGCTCTGCGCACGGCCACCTGCCTTGTTTCTGCTTCCCTTGAGTCGCAAGTGCGGCCTCGGATTTTATCAATATCCTCACGTAAAATAATCCCAATCGGGGTAGATGTCAAATAGATGTCGCATACCCAATTGCAAGGCCCGAAATCTTCGCAGAATTTCTCCGAGAGTGTCGTCATCCAGCACGCTGAAAAGACAGGATCTGCGATGGGGCTCTTCGTGTCCAACACTAATGCATCTCGTGTCTTCCCCGCCCTATAGAATGGAGCCCTGGCACTCTGCGCTGAACGAGCGACGATCTCTATCACTCCGACACGGGGTGGTGCTTCTAGATGCCATAATGTTAAGGATCAATCCTTCCGACTTCGAGGTATAAAGCCCCACATCTCTCGGGGTCCATTTTCCCGGCCCAAGAAATGAAAATGAGCTGCTTGTTGCTTAACGTTGCTTTCCTCGTCGCATACTCCTTTGCTGCCTCGGCACAATCTATTCCCGTAGGGGGGACTTGTAAGCGCTCGCATTCTCTCCCCAGCTTCCAGGACCCTCACGTCCGAAAACGCAGGCGCTAACATAGCTGGACCACTCCCGGTAAGCAATTGTAACTAACCTCGCAAAAACATTCTGATTCAATCTCGTATAGACTCCCTGTAGGCCACTTTGTCTCTTTTTTGATGTCTCAATTCGAGCAACGATACAGGTGTCGCAGGGAGCACCTGCTGCTACGTTTTCCCGGACTTGGCCCTGTGAGCACAAATGCCCAGACGGGAGAAGCAGCGCCTAACCCGAAGCCTAGATGCACGGCCGGAAAAGGATGCCCGGAGAAGTTCATTCCCGAAGGCGGTTTATGTGAGTCATGTCCGACCAGTGAAGATGCTCTAGTATTAATTGCTTGACTAAACACTTTTTAAGGTTCCGGAATTGCAGGACCGATCCCTGTGAGTAAAATTGGCATTGATTTCTACCACTAACTGACAGCATCCATGTAAATAAATTCGCTTCTCAAGTCATCCATGTTCGATGAAACTGACTATCTATCAAAGGCATTCCGGGGATCACCTGCTGTTACGTCAGTCCAGACAACGCTCAGTGAGCTGATAGAGCATCATAATTGTTAGACTCTCTTTAAATACCTTTCTAGGTGCCTTCGTAGGTGCAAGAAATTGTAACAAGCTTGGTCATCTGGGTAGATTCCATTATGATATGCCACGGCATCCCGTCCTATCACATGTTCATTTAAAGTTGTTGCAACTCCGTGGGTTGAATATGCGGACATAAACTCAGAGTGACGGTAATCAAAGCCATGCGCAAGCTCTTGACCGACACGACGGGATATATGCTCTCCAATATGAGTGACTCGGTGGAACGCTAGCTTAAAGCACAATATCCTCTGCGTTCGGTCAGAGGCTCCACAACAAGCACCCTCTGTAGTCCGAGATACTTAATCTAAAATTTCCAAAATAATATGCGCATTGTATGTGGGTGCATTTTGTGTCCATCTCCTCCTTGGTCAAATTAGGAAGGTTGCAGTCGTGCGCCACACAGTCGTGATCGCTGCACGTGGTCCATCTTTTCGATGCCGCGCGCAATCATTAGTTCCCCTTGCCCGCTCCCCTTCTCACACCTCATTTCTCCCTCGCCATCCCGCCTTTGTCGATTTTTCTTTAAGCTCTTCCGCCTCTTCCTCAGCACTTCCTTCTGCAATGATGTTGTCCTTGGCCCGCGCTATATCCTTCTTGGCGATATTTTTGATGGCCTTCACCACCGTCGTCTCGGCATGCGAAGGGGAATGCATCTCCGGGATTACAAATGCTCTGCTGGGGAACTATACCGCTCCAATGACAGACGCCTTGTCGGAAATCGTGCGTTATCTTCCAATTGGCTCCCAATCACCCATCTGATGCACCGTGAACTAGGCACAGGAAATCGTCGATGACATTATCCACAGCAACAGAAACTATCCCGCCCCGCCCCTATCATATCTCAGTCCTTTGATAGATGAATACAACAAGCGCGCGTACGACCACATGGTGCAGACCGTCTTCAAGGGGTACTTTCACGGCAAGTGCCAGAACCCCACCACCAACATCGACCCGCCTGGCTGCCCAAACCCCGACTGCCCGGTCGTCTGTGGCACGCCTGGATCAATCGTTCACTTCTACAGCAAGTTCCGTTACCTCGCATTTGATTCTACCTGCCGCCTAATGGACGAAATCATCGACCCAAGCTCGGAGGCGTATCAGAAAGTGAACGAGGCAGTTATGGCGGATGCGGGAAGCTCTGAATCAAAAAGGACACGACGGCCCCTTCGATTTATCCGGCGTGGGGGTTCTGAAGACGAAGACTTGCGGGGAGAGCTTGTGGAGGTGGAGAGGCGGGAGGATCAACTCGTCGCTCTTCTGCGGCAGTTTTGTTCCAAGCTGACGGTTTTATGCGGCGGAACTGAGTCAGGTCAGACTAACGGTCTTCCGTTCTGTAGTTGGGAGGAGAGCTTCAAGCGCTACATCCTTACATTCCCTTGATTATTAGTTTTTGGACCATCCTTATTAGCAGGCTATTTTTCCCAAGCTATCCTACTCATGACATTACTTGTAAACTAGTCAAACTATCACGCTATGTTTCTCGCGGCTTTACTGATCTCTTATTGTGCATCGGCGTTTCCTCATATTCCTGGGGGCGGATACCTGCACCGGCCGCGACTTGATGTGGCTGTGCTCAGAGTGTGTCACGGACTGTTTGTGACGTGTCCTGGACTCTCATCGCCAGCACACAGCTCCATTCCGCCGGCCATCTCTCCTTCCTTTCGCCACGTCGCGTCTATAACGACCTCCGGGAGGCATGTACAGAACAGTGTCTTCCAATTCTTTTCTGACTGTTATGACACAGGACTGAACCCCAGACTTGTTGCGCCCGCACGCATTTCAATAAAAATCAATGGAGCAACAAGCGAAAGCGCCCCCGGATATCAAGAAGATCGCCCAGTTTTTGCGGGGTGGAGGGGCAGGGATGAAGGTTCGCGTCGGGGCACTTAACGGGAAACGTCTGGACTACTTCAAGGGTGCGTCAAGCTCACCGAGATTCCACTCAGCAGCCACTCATTTTACCCCTCAGGCAAGTCGGCCGTTAAGGCTCTGCTGTCGCCTGCCTTCGCCAAAGTCAAAGGCGCACCAAAAGTAACGTCAGAGACCGAGGCGCAAACGATCCTGCAGGCGGTCAACGCCTTCGCTTTCTTCCTCCGTGTACAACGTGGCGGCCCGACCGGGTCATCGTCGTCATCACCCAAAGCCCTCCAAATCATTCCTGAGCAAATGTTTGCCCCAGACGAGTATTACGCCTGGTTCTATGAAGGTTCACAATGGACGACATATGCTGGTGGAATCCTGATGGTGGCCATTATGCTCGCTGGCGTGATGTTCCCGCTGTGGCCGCCCATTATGCGTCTCGGCGTATGGTATCTAAGTATTGGGATGCTTGGTCTTATTGGTCTATTCTTCGCCATCGCTATCGTTCGACTCATATTCTACATCATCACACTCATTGTCGCAAGTCCCGGAATCTGGATATTCCCTCAACTGTTCGCCGACGTTGGCTTTGTACGTGTGTTTTTGACCTTTTCTTCAATTAAAGCTCACAGCCGCTGTTTAGGTCGAGTCATTTATTCCTTTGTGGGAATGGGACCTCCCCAAGAAGAAATCGAAAAAGAAGAAGGGCGACAAAAAAGAGAAGGAGAAGGGCAAGTCCTCAGCTCAAAAGCACAAGGAAAACGGCGGCGCCTTTATCGAAGAGGTGGACGACTCAGAGCAATCGCGGCCACACAGCCGTGCAGCGCGTGTGGAGGATGCAGAAGACGACGACTAGGGATGTATGTCTATATTTACGACCTTTCTTGTTCTTCATTCCTTATATTATATATCCTACATACCCTTCACACGCCCTCCACTCCGTAAGACGACGCATACATATGTCATCCTCACCATTTCTACATAACTTATTTCCTCTAGATCTCGATGGCATTGGAATTGTGTTTTTAGGGAAGGGCGCTACGCGCATGCAGCGAATTGAAGCTGAGATTGAATCTCCTTTGATCAAACAGTCGGGCGACCTGGCTGAACTTCTTCACCACCAACATGAACGTGCTCTACGAATTCGCCATCGTGTGCTCTCTCAACATGGTTGATCAACCCTTCCTCGATTTCACATCAAATCTATCTTACTGAAGTCTCGTCCTGCAGCCTGCTTGGTGCTACAGCAGATGATTAATCGATGATTGCCCATCGAGACCACCGCGCATTGAGAAGGTGAGTCAATATGTTGTCTTACGCTTCCTTCGTCCCCTATCGGTGCTACGATGTTCGAAAAGCGGATACGGGACCGACTCGATTCGCGATTCTTACAGGTCTCCTCCGTGTGGAGTCAAGCGGAGGGCCGGTCTCTCAGCCCAGCGTGGCAGCCCAGGACTTATCCTGCTCGATCTCGTGCATGTGTAGTGGGTCTGACTTCTCGAGCTCGTCGGCTCTCCACTATACATTGCACAGCGGTCCTACTGACAGCACTGGGGTTTTCCCTCGGGATCGTGGCATTCTTGGGCTTGAAATTGACCTAGCATACGAGGGGGTTTCGAGGGTTTCTGTGTCGTCCCTCTTCTTCTGTTCGTTCTGGTCGTCTAACATTTTTATCCTCTCTAGGTTGTCTCTACTGGCAGGCAGCTCTGTCCGCTCCACCCTCCTGTGACCTGTAAGCCTACCATTCTCCTCTCAAATCACCCTCCTTCTCTACGAGATCCCTTATCGGCGCTAGCGCGACTTCCGTCGCCTGCTCGCCGTGGAAAGCGAGATGGATGCAAGTACACTCAACACAGTATTCCCGATGTGAAAGTTCATATCGGTCGTCCCTCAGCTGGTCCCCCCCTTTGACTAATAGACAAAGGATATGAGGTCAGGCACTTTGGCTACAGGGAAAAAGATCGACTCCTTAGGGAGACTGTCTGTGGATTGCCAGGTCCTGGGTCCAAACTTCGCGGACTGACGTAGACGCCCCTGGCGTAAACTGGGTATAGGCGCATGCTCACTGTTGAGGTAGCGTACGAGGGGGTTCTTGTGGATTCTTCGCTTTTTCGTTTTGCTCATTCTGCTTGTCATGGACGTTGCTGATGTGCTGCCTTAGATTCATGGAGAACTGGTACTAGCAGACCGACTGTTCTGAAACTGTTGTAGGACGTCGGGTAGCCCGATCCAAAGCCGGATAGACGCAGACCGTCTTTCGAGTGCACCATTGCGTTCATGGCATCGTATGTGTTTTGTGCTAAAGCGCCATTTCTCTACCGTGGTTTGTGATGGGCGAGGGTCTTCGAGGCATATAGTACTGCTACGTCCCATACTATCTCTAGCTACGCAATTCCATTGCTGTCATTACTGATGATAATGTTATTTTTTTGTGACCAGAGTCTTACGTCCAGCAAGTGATATTCTTGGAATTGTTAGACTTCTAGAGTCAATGCTTTAATTTTGGGTTCCTCTTGCTCGGCTGGGGAATTGACCTCTCCATGCCAACGTCCGAGTGGCTTACACGGGTGGCGTTTCCAAGACGTCAATGGAAATGCGCTTGCAAAAAATGGAAACCGTCCTACATTAGGATGCAGAGAGCATTTATTAGAGGATTGCACCAAGATTGCACACAGGTATTTTCCTATAATAAATGCATCTCCCAAAAGGTATGATCCACTAGTCTATCTTCCCTCCTTCCCTCCTTCCTCCCTAGACCCTCAGCTGTACCAGAGTATTCTCCAAGAGCAACAATTGCAACTACTTACATAGTACTTATCCTGCCATCGATTCGGGGGCGTGATCACCATTTGAATCTGAGCTTTAAATTATTTGATGGGGCTTTTAAGCGCCCACGTCACAACAACTTCCTTTCTCTCCGACCACCACCTCACTAGCAGTGCGCTTTTTTCGATAGTCCACAATCTCCGAGCTCACTGGCCTCAGATAATGTAGTTCGATTGTTACATCTGCTGTTTAGTCGCTCAGACAGTTAACCTGCCTGCCGTGTCCTGTGTTCCATAATCTTTTATCCGAAGATGTGAGGATAATGCTTCCATTGAAGTCAAACGGGTAAGTGATCTCAACTCTAGTCTATTTTCCCCGGTCGACTCCCTTTTTTCCATTCTCTTTTCAATGACTGCGCCGTTGTATGGAACCCATATCGGTGCCACAGCGCTGAAAGCGTGACGACAGTGAGAAGCATTGCTTGTACGCATTTGCTTCAATTGTTGTTGGCATATCTGGTCCTAGACCTCTTTGTCACTACGGTCCCCGCCTATTGCTACCGTCGCACGACGCGTTCAGCACGGATGCGCATTCTCAGAGGCTGTGGGACAGGTTATTGGCAATCTGCCAAGGGCTGGCCTGATTGGCTGACTTGTTCGCCCCGGGTGACCCTATGCTTGATCTTTTGAAGGTAGCCAGAGGGCTCTCTGTTTCTCCCTCGCAACACTGTAATTTTGCGGTGGTGTCCAGGTGGCAGATCATGGTGTAGCGGCTCTTGTGACCTGCTGTCGCAGCTACACGATAATGCGGGTATGGTGAGGTTTTTGCCTTGGCATACGAGGGGGTTTCTGTTACCGACGTGCAGTTCTTCATTTTTACTGCTGCTGTCTGCATCGTTTTAGCCGTGCCTCATCGTTATTCTACAGGAGAATCTTCTAGGGACTCACCAAGCATGTCATTTTCGCAACACATCCTACCTTCGCCGTTCGTGTAAGGTGTAGCGTGAGTGCTCCTTTGCTGTTCGTGTCCTTTGCCCCTATCGGTGTCACGGGTGCGAAAGCACTGCATATTCGCGGATTGGCCCTAGCCATGAACGAAGCAAATTCTGCGTATTGGCCATAGCCATGAGCATACTCCAGGCCCTCTCTGACGGAATGATTTCCGGCCAGGGTATATCTCCTTGACGTTCGAGTCCGTAGCCATGGAAGTTTGTCTCTACAGTGCACGAAATGTTGGGCATCGACTGAGGTACCTGACCTAGTTGAATTCCTTGCTATTGCTTTGAGATGAAGGAGGTTCTCGATGTACAGACAAGTGGCTACAAATACTCGCAAGGTGATTCCTTGGCGGCTGTTACAACTGATACATGAACATGCTGACGAGAGTCCTGGAGGCGACATACGACGGGGTTTTAATGTCTCGGTTTCCTTTCGAACATTGACCAGATGTCAACACTGTTCTGATGTCTTCGTTAGGTCAATTACTTCCACCGTGACTTTCTGTTCTTGAATACCAAGAGATGGATGAACATAAGACATTCTAGAGTCCTGCTTGAAGCTAGTAAGCTCTTTCTTCCTATTTCTCCTTGCAGAGACATGCTTTGAACCCTTATTGGTACCATTGTGTTCCGACGTTGCCTGAGCCTTCTTTTGAGGTTGAGGTAGCTGTGGTGCTATGTTTCATGCTGTCGAGAGCCGTGTCGTTGTTCAGGTGTTCCCACCAACTTCAAGTAACGCGCTAGGCCTACTACGCCTGGAGGTATCGAGCTCGGATCTAGGATTGGATGGAGGTTTCCTTCGTCCTTTCTCTCTGATTCGAAGGGCAATGAATTATTTGCCTTCTGTTCCTCAGAAGGTATCGGCACGTTACTTCGAGCGGGGAGGGCGATGACTGGGAACGCTCGCCATGTGAGAGAAGGATCATAGGCCGGTATACGAGGGGGTTTGGCTCACGACAGATATTTCACTCATCCAGCTGTCTGCTTACGATTTTGCTGAACAGGTTCAGAAAAGTGAGCAAGAAACGTGGTGTTCATTCTACTGTCTCCCGTTCGGGTGATTCGTGTCGTCCTCTCTTGAACCCCTATCGGTGCTACAGCGCTGCGCGTGGCAGTGGTCAATCCGCTGTTGGTATACCGTCCTGGACCTCCATATCACAGTATAGTTCGACTTCTCCTAAGGGCTGGGCACAGTTGGTTTTGTCGGTCATTGCGCAATACCGGCATTATCAACGTGCTTGGGTCATTGAGGAAAGCAGGCATCTGCGGTGGTATGCAAGAGCGTGTACACGTGTGAGAGGACCCTCACACGGGCTGTGGTAGGCTGATTTGCGTGCTGCGTCGAGTGGGTCAGAGTTGAACTCTGTACTCTACTCATGCATGTGGCCAACCTGTGTTATGTAACGCTACAGCTTGGATACGCCCTTCGACATGGCATCTATCCAGCTGTCGTGTTGAGGTCCTTGACTTGGCATACGAAGGGGCCATTAAGACCGACATCAGGTTCGAGCTTGATCATTACTTCGTCGTTCTCGCGATTCCGTGCTTTCTCCACCTATAGCTATCGCTTGATGACTACCACTTTCACAGAGAGAACACATCCCGAAAGCCCTGCATCCTGGGTTCTCATTTATATTTTGGTAGGTTCCTATTACGAGCATCAAGTGTCAGCCCTATTGACTGCAGATGTTTTTACCAGATACAATTCGGCAAGCAGAATTTTCCTAACGCGCTTGATGAGTCGTTTCTTCTTTCATTGCTGCCGCCCCTATCGATGTCATGGGCGCTTCGGTGTCTGCGTATTGGCCATAGCCATGAGCATACTCCTAGGCCCTTTCGGACGGAAAATCCGGTCAACGTTGGCCTTGCCCTCGTCAACTCGACGGCAGCTTGCCAGTTGAACTCGCCTTTACACTTTGACAAAAGGTTGAGGCTGGACCAGAGTACTCTTCTCTCTGTAGTCATTTGGGAGTGCGTGCATTCCTCGTGCAAGGGACGAGGGGCAAGTGGCCCGACATAAAACTTGGCATGACCTGCGTTGATAGCTGCTTCAGTCTAGAGTGGTTGAGTATGCTGATGAAGGGGTCGGGAGGAGATATACGAGGGGGTTTGTGCATTGTATAACGCCTTATTCTGTTTTTATTCCAAGTCCGGACACAAACTGACATCCTCTTTCTTAGACGACGACGAATAGCCCACTTCGTCTGATCCAAATCCTGAACCCATGAAGAATCGTCCAGATGGTCTTCATCGTGTTTGCTCTGCAAGTAAGGGTCGTTTCAATAATTCTTATCTGTCCCTATCGGTGTCATCGGTGCTTTGGCACGTATCTTGCATACTGGCCCTCGCCATGAACAATGTATCGCAAACATACTCTGCACCCCCTTCTGACGGGTTTCCGGTCTGTGCCATTCTTCCGAAATGAATTGCATACGTAAGCGACGTCAGCAAACTTGGCCACACATGACAAGGAGCTCGGAAAGGTCACGCTGCGAGGAAGGATTTCGAACCTCTTGCGTTTCTCTTCCATTGCCTTTTGGGAAAATATGTCCTGAATGTGCGGCTTACGGGGCTTCGCTTGCGAATAATGGTTTAAAGCGTTATAATGGCAAGGACAGCGTGCTATCGTCCTAAACAATGGGCGAACATGTCGACGAAGGGGCGAGGAGGAGACACACGAGGGGATCCTTCATTCATTTTCTCAAAGTAGTTTGCCAAAACATTCATTAAAATATGCTGATGTCTTCTTTCGACAGGACAGCTATCTCATTCTGACAGACTCAAGGAAGTTAACTCGATGTACCTGTCAGACCAAAGTGTTACTGGCATATTCCAGAGGTTTGCCGACGATGTGATGTGACAGAGGCGGCCATAATATGTAACGGATGCGCGCAGATGTTGAGAAGTTATTTATCAGGTTTATAGAAGGTCATACGACGAGTGGATGAATGGATACAGATGTTGTTGTAGTTGGATACAATATTTGCTGTGAATATAGATGCAGATGTAATAGTCCTGTTGGAGGATGAATACGAAAGGCTAGATGTAAACGAAAGCACAAAGGTGAAAACAGAAATAGCTGAAGCAGAGATGCCGAAAGAAAAATAGAACATTGTTTACAACACGGCTTCAGCTGCCTTCAGAGCAGTTTCAAAGGAGCGAAGCAGGGCATCCGTTTCCTCCATGCCCACGCTGATCCTGACGAGGCCTTCCTCCACACCATACTGAGCCGCCCAATCCAGTTCGCCGAAGTGAGCCAGGATCGTAAACGGACACGCCAGCGTGAAGTTGGTGCCGAGACTAGGTCCCTTGTAACACGGTAGTGCATCGAAGAACGCCTTGGAGGCCGCCACCGACGTGAACGTCAGCGAGAAAAGACCGCCATATCCGCCATCCTCGCCGTCCTCTGGGTCGACGTCCTTGATGCGGCAGAAGTCGTAGTTCTCTCTCGTGATGTACTTGGGATAGAAGACCTCCTTGATCGCAGGTGACCGCGCGCCTCCAGCGAGAGACCTGCAGCGCAGGAACTCACAGGCCGCTTGAGCATTGGCGTCGATGACCCGGATGCGGCGCTTGAAATCGCGAGAGTTGCGTTCCATGTAGATGGCGTCTTCGCCAAAGTAGACGTCTTCAAAGTTGTCCTTGAGATAGTTCTTCAGGGTGGTGTAGTGCCGGCCTTTCGGGTTGAGTGTTAAACTAGACACAGAGTATCAGAAATCGGAGATATATGCGCCATTTCCAGAAAAATATACCTTCCACCCATGACGTTGGATGCGCCACTAAAGACTTTCGTCAAGCTGCTGACCACAATATCCGCGTATTGAAGGACTTTGACGTTGACGAAGTTGCCAATGGTCTCGTCGATCACGATAAGGAAGTCATACTTGTCAGCTAAACCACGAAGGCGAGGCAGGTTCGCGGACCGAAGCAAGGGATTCGAAGGGAACTCTGCGAAGAGAGCAAGGATAGGAGGCGTATTCGGATCTCGCTTGGACTCGGCTTCGAGGATCTGCTCGAGCTCGTCGATGTCGCTGTCTAGTCCAAATCCGAGGAAGTGGCATCCAGGGCCCCACTTCTGAAGTATCTTAAGGGTATCGGTGTATGGGAAGCTGTCCGATTGTAGTCAATTCGAATGAAGAGGATAAGCGAAATGCGAACGAACGCACCCGAAACACACACTCTTTGCAGGTGGCAGGACAGCCAGAGCAATGTTATGGGCACTCCAAATCGCAGACATGCCGGTCGGGTAAAGATAAACGTCATCCGCAGCGACGTCCGTAATTCCTCGTGTGCTGGGACCAACGACGAGTTCTTTCTGCGACGAGCAGGGATTGGATTGATACTCATGGATGTTGTCCTTGATCAAGACGCCAGCGACCCTGGAACGCAAGACGCGTTTGGCGAAAGAGGCCGCATCTAGCGGAAGGTTTCGTCCGTAACGTTCTTCGAGATATATGGAATGGTCCGGACTGAGATCTTCTCCCACTGGCTGGGTGGGCACAGGAGGGTTGGAATTCTTGACCGCCGAGTAGTGCCTGTTATGACCCTTCGCAGCATAGCGAGAGATCGGGCTCGTTGGACGTTGGACCTCTGGTACATCCTTGGCGAGTAACGCAATACACTTCTCAGCTAAACGACTGGAAATGCCCAAACCGGTGTGCTGCCAGACCTCCTTGGCGATAGGGAAGACGGTCTCAGGGAAGAGAACGATATGAAGGTCGGCACAGGAGCCAGCGATGCTGGATTTGTCGATTTTCGTGCCGTCTTGCTTGTCTTCCGGACAGATAAAGAGGTGTACGAGACGTGCGTTAACCGGCGAACCGGCAAGAGCCGTGCGATGTTGGATAAAGGAACGACACTCTTCTGCGATTTTTTTTGTAGGGAAGAGCATGCATTTCTCATTTCCGACGGCATATTTCTGCTCGCACATTGAAGCAAGCTAATGGGGTATGAGATCACATACCAGTTGTGAGATAATAACAGCAGACGCACCTTCCTGATACTCAGGTGAATGAAGAACCTTGGGTAGCCTGATACCATGCTGTCCACCACTCTTTTTTCGCCCTCTTCGTACCCGACATTATCCCTCCAAGTCGGAAGCGAAACCGAGATCGCATGTGGGGTGTGTGGAGGTACAGCAAGGCCCAATGGAACTTCGACTTCGCCCATTCTTCCCGTCGGTACTCTGAATTGCTCTAGTCGTCTCTTGCAAGACCTATGAGGAGAATATCCCTGACGAGGGGGAGAACAAACTGAACAAATACCAAGAACTTGGAGAAGTCATTATGCAAGTGAGAAGGATCGGAGCGTCGGCCGTGGCAATTTCGATCGGCCGGAGTCAGAAGGCAAGCCAATAAGAATGTCCAAGTCCAGTAGCCAATGAGTCGCCAGGAAATACACGCCATCCAATGACGTCTCGAGCGATTTTGATGTCGAATTCCAATTAATCGGCCTCGAGCTTGGATTTGTACATTGTACAAGCTATAATACAGTTTTACACAAGACCTAGATCAGTATAGCTACATACACCAACGAGACGAACCTTGGAAATCCGTTGACCAATTAAGTACTTCCAAAGTTGCATTTTCACCCAACACTCTCCTTCTTCATGTGTCCACTCTTCCGCTTTGTGCTCTCTCTTCTTTGCAGGGAAAGATCCAAGACAGGTATCGGCGTCGAGCCCAGAACACTATCCAGGACGGCGATCCCCGAAGGACTTGAGGCAGCCACGTTTGGGCTGCGCTGAACGCTAGTTCGGCTGTTCGACCTCGATCGAAGCATGAAATCTTTGTCCAAAGATGACTGTGACGAAGAGGCTGATGATGCTCTTCGATGACGCTGCATCACCGTTGGATCGACGTTCGGAATCTTCGCCACTCGGGCAAACAACGCAAGGACTGCGAAAACAGGTTAATGTAGGTTATGGATAGATGACAAAACATGACCAACTGTCGACAATAGATATAATTCCAGTGAGATTCGTTTGAAAAGAAGGGGATAGTGTAGGAGATGCATGCCCAGAATCCTTGGTTACAAAGACACGATGTGCGTTTGCTGGGCCAAGTCGTGAGTTACTGGGATGAAAACGATCCTTAAATGAAAGGAGCTTACTGGCCAACAACTTCTCTATCGTGAAGGAGAGAAGGCTGGAGGGAAATACGGAATATACAGGATACTTATCAATACCATCTGTAGATCCATCGGCTTCCTGGAGCATGGTCAGTAGGATCTATTTCTCGAGCGGGTAAAATACTCGCCTTAATCTGGGCGATAAATTGGAGTAAAGGAGTTGCCAAGATTTGGTTGCTCTGAGAAGGGACAACGATCTATCACGAAAAATCAAAACCGAGTACTCTCATACGAGTATCCAGCGTACCTTTCCAACGTCTGTCACACTGACAGCACTTAGAAGAGTACCGCTGTTCTCTTCTACCACAGCGACGCTGCTGACTCCTTGCTCGCTCATTAGCTTCATGGCATCCAGTACGGAAGCAGATGATCCAGCCGCAACAACAGCGGCATTCAGGCTAACGGAAGGGAGAGATAGGAATTGAATTGGTTGGGACAAATACTTCTTGAATGACGGAGTTTCTCGGGCGTAAGCATCGAACCACGCCAGAAGGCTACGCTCAGAAACAATGCCGATAAATTCCTCAGGTGATTTGGCAGATTGAATGAAGGCTGGAGAAGATCGTAAGATTGAGAGGAATCACTCTGTCAGATACGCACTTCTGTGGGCTCCTCGAGCAAAAACAGCGAGCAACGAAATCAGAGTGGAGTTGTGTGACAGTATCTCAATGGGATTCTTCTCTGAAAGATCTGTCAAGCAAAGCAGAATTTCAGGATAAGCGACAATAACACAAAAACGGCAGAATTAAGGAGGGGGGAACGAAAGCAACAACGTACTGCTGACCAAATGGACTGGGACGCGTCCAGCCTTCGCCGCAGTGACAATGTCATTCGCCCGCGTCTTTTCACGGAGATCTTCAGGTTGCAGGGTGTGTCTTGTTGCCGCCAACGTCAGGAACGCGTTGACATCAGCATACTGTTGAGCATCGAATCCTCAGTATGTGTAGTTATCTTGGTCGATGCGTCTCCTACATCAAATAATCCGTGATAAGGACTTCCGCTGCTGGATTCGGAGGATGGCGTCCGGACTGCGAGGCAGGCAATATCTTCGGACAGTAGGAGCTGCGAGGACAGGCTTCAGATATTAGCGTTTCAGTAGATAGGTGATGGATGTACTTCGCATGCGTCCTCCACGCTCGTTTCCGAGTCTACTGCCACGATTCGGGAGTCAATGAGATCTGCCGGCTTCGATAAGTTCTCCGACGATAAGACTTTCGTGATAGTGACCGAATACCTCTTGCAAAGACCGTCTTCCATGTGGCCAGCCAGCTTTCCATCTCGTCCTCTGAGACGGTGACGCTAGAGGTGGGCAAATTACTTCCGTCGTTCCAGCTCCCCGTGACGGATTGCGAGAGTCTCTTGTTCGACATGCTATCCAGGACGCTAGCGACGATCGCAGAGGGAGTTCCAGGAGATATGAGTCGATGGAAATGACCCGTCGATACCGAAAGTCATGAAGGTGGGGGTGGAGAATGGAGGAAGAGGTCAAGAACTTGAAGAAGCTTGTTGAGGCACGCGTGACCTCAAAGTCTCTTGTCCTTAACCAACCACCACAAACACCAATGTCGCGTCCGCTTTCGTTCTGAACGTTTTGGAGCCGTTTTATGCTCGGATTGAAGCCCTGTAAGCGTGTTTACTTCATTGCTCATCATGACATTGCTGAATTGCAACTTAGAGCAGGGAGGAGTCCCCGACATCGACCCTAATATCCCGGGAGTCCTCGACAACGTGGCCTCTTCGGGCAACCAACGTTTAAGAAGACTGACACCGAATCCGTCTCGCGGCCAGTCTCGATTGCCAAAAACCCTGTTCGACATGGCTCCCTGGAAGTCATTTCCGTCAAAACGTCACTACGCTCTGACGGAGGAACAACGTCGAATGTATGCCTCGGAGAAACTGGAAAACTTCAGATGGATATCTAAACTCGTTGCGACGTATTCGTCATATATCCTCACGGATTCTAATCTCGCTTCTGACAATCTGTACCAGGAACTCGCAGAGCTAGGCAAGCAACCCCCGTTTCATTCTCTCCGATTCCACGTGCATCATAACGGGCTCACCGACTGTTTTTCCGTAGGCCAGTTCGCGGAAATGGCATACAGCGCCGTTCCCATTCACCTGCTTCTCGAGCATTACGAGACGCTGAGTCAACCAGGCTACCCGCTGGAGAACTACGATGCCGTCCGTGATGCTATCTTGATAGATGCGTTCCGAGGAACATCCGCCGACTTACCTGCGTACGTCGCGTATCGCCCGGATACGAGTCAACTTATCGTGTCAATCTCTGGCACCTCGTCCGTGAAGCATGCCCTTCAGGACTTGCGTGCCATACGCCGCACCCATCCGTCAGGAAAAGGTGCCGTTCACAGCGGATTCTGGGTGCTCTATCAAGGAATCAAGACGGAGTTGATGATCGGCATTCGCAAAGGACTGGCAGAACACCCTGCGACGGAGCTAATATTAACGGGCCACAGTATGGGCGGGAGCATCTCGTACTTGCTCTGCCTAGACTTACTCACTTCTGATGATATATTGCGACCTAATTTAAAACTAAAGATAGCGGCATTCGGTGCGCCTCGTACTGGGGACGCTGCTTTGGTTACTTTTTTCCGGGAACTCGTGGGCTCATTTAGACAACGATTCGGAGGGGACGCTTTCAAGGAATATTCGGTGAAAGGGTATAATGACGGTTCGTCACCATCTTTTCCCACCATTGCTATATCTGACCACTGTGTTTTTTCATCCTGGAAGTGTAGGTGTTCCTGCCCTTCCGCCAGCGTTTCTAGGCTATCGCCATTTTTGCGCGCAGCCTATTTTCACAGTCTGTGGGAAGCTATATCAAACGCCTGCCACAGAGTCCGAGCATGCCTTGTTCCATGTTCACTCGGATGGTATCGATGAGGGACAAGAATATTTATTCCCGAAAGGCGGTCACAATTACTACAACGGCCGCGATCTGGAAAGATTTACCCGTCGTATTAATTGGCTCGACAAGTCGAACCCATCGGAGCATGGCTGGGAAGCGCGGTACCTAGACATCTCTGTACAGAGTACGTAGAAATAGACACTGATCGCTTCCTACGCGCTATGCCCGTATGTGATGAGTCTGACCCATGATCGCAAAAATCTCCAACAGGGAATGAGATGACCCCTGCCGGAGCGAACGCACCGAACATCCAACGATAGCGCCTTTGCCGCGGTTGCACGCATCTAGCGGCCCTTCTCCAATATATTCCCTTCATTTCTTGGGTAGCCGCATGTACTTGGAGGCACATCACAATTCAGAAGAAAGTTTTCGCGGAGATATGGATGACTTGAAGTCGACAGCGTGCATGATCGTGAACTTGTATAACGACCTTCCCCGCAGTATTCAATGCGAGTGATGGGTGTTATAACTTGTATACATTAAGCTGGAGTAAGATGAGCCCAAGAAGGGTATGTCCGTCCACCGGCTCGTCCTTTAGGAATGTCGGGCCCGACAATAGTGCAATAGCGGAAGCAACACTCTGCCACGATGTGAAGATCATCGTGATAATCAAGGAACATTATATCCAGTTTCTGATGAATAATTCGAACCTAATAATCCATTAAATTTTAGCGACATGAAAAGCCGAAAACGATGCACTTAGAAGGTGCCATTCACTCACATGTGGCCAACTCGGGAGTCGGGGGAAAGGATCGTTGCCATATATGACGTTTACTCGACGTACCACGTCCTTGGAGGGTTCCTGCTTCGACCCCAAGAGAACCGCAATCCCCACGAAGGAGCTCGCCGGACTGCTATCGCGAAGGAAGCCAAATGAAGACTGCGTGCATCACTAAAGTTCCTGAATGCAGCGGCGGAGAACAGGTAACCCCCTGCATGAGGTTTCGAGTGTATCTCATTGCTCACATCGGTGAGGGGTTGCAGGAAGGAAGACCGGACCGCGGTCGATAATGGACCACAACGGCTCATGTGCGCTACGGAAGCATTCAATTGATGGAAGGCATCACATAAAGCATGTCGCTAAACGGCATTCGTTGAGATCCTTTCCCTCTAGATTTCCTGCCACTTACAATTTCTCTCGAAAGCGCCGCGGTGATTGATTGGTCCGTTATGTCGAGGTAGCTCCTGTAAGTTGGATAACATCAATATTGATTGGCCATCAGGGGGACGATGACAAGAAATTACGAACGCTCACGGTTGGCGGCATGTCGCCGCACTAATTCTTCCGCCCGCGACCAACTGCAAGATTCTTCTTGTCGGGCTTGAGCTTCCCACTCGCGAACGACGTTGGCAGGGTATGGCATGAACACGACTCGAGGATCGACCATCCACACCGTCTCCTCGGCGGCCTCCTCCGCGTCATCAAAAATAATCAGCACCTTGAGCGCTTGACAGGTGGAAAGTATGCTCGACAAGCTGGCTTCCTGGGGTTGATTATGGCCGAGACGTAGGGCCAAATGCGTGAGTGAAGGGAGTCTGTCGAGGGGAGGAATAACCGGGGCCATTTCGTGTGTCCAAAAGATGATGTCGAGATGGGTTAGATATTCACACCATGGATGGCGGGTCCCACCTGTCGGAAACAGGGCGAGAAAGTGGGAAACCTCGACAGAAAGCTTGCGGAGGGGTAGTGGCGAGATGTACGGGACGAGGGAGCGGTTCGGAACGGTGCCGATGTAGTCGACCCAAAACGCTAGGTCCATTACCCCGGTACAGGCGCTGAGGATCCGTGTCGCATTTCTCCCGCTGACCGACACAGACAGGCAGAGTTTTTTGACGGTGTTCGCGAAGAACTCCGGGGGTAGAGAACCCATCGTCCTCAGAAACAACGCCGTGTCGTCGGAGCCTAGTGTCACCATCTCGTAGATATGGGGCTGGAGCCTGCGGAACGGTCCAGAAAGAGTCGGCTTAGCGATGAATAAATTGGCGCCAAAATCCCCTACCATCTGTAAAAGCGGCGCGCGACAAGGACGAGGCGGAGCGGGATTCTATGGTCAACGTTTGCAGCTACCACGAAAATTTCGCGCTGGAGTTCGATGGGGAGTTCGTTGAAGGGGAATGCCCTAGTGGTCGACATCGACTAAGGTGGTGAGAAAGCCGAAGAATTAGTTGGATGGACATTGGTCATATATCGATAGATCCACGATATTTTAATTTGTCTTTTCACTTTCGCCCAGGAGAGTATCACGTGGAGAAGGAGGAGATCTGTTCCTGCGTACATGCGTTATCGTTCCATCACCCTGCGTACGTACCGGAACGTACCCTTGGCCCTCTTCCTTCCTATCTCCAGTCTCTAGCCCTAAATGTACAAGCGGCGTCAGATACATGGAAGAAACAATTAAATATGTAACAGGAGACTCACAGGTGAGTGCTATTTGCCCGAGGTTACAAAATATAATTCACATCTGTTGAATATAGTTCAGCTTCGCCGAAAGGTGTATCAAGCACGTATGCAGCCCATGACGTCCATCTCGTGGCGAAGACACTTGCATTATCGAACGTCTCCCTTAGGAGTTCTTCGGAGAACCGGAGTCGGACGATATGCAGCTAAGGATGCCATTTGACCCCAGTTCGAACGAGTAAGGCATCGGGGGAAGTCTTAGGCCCTCAAAGACGCCCATTGGGACTGTCAGGATCTGGGCAAGTTGTTTAAAGGTGAGCTGGCAGGGTACTTCTCGTTGTTATACCCGTGGACAGTATGGATAACTTGGGATTCGGCGAAGGTACCAGTAGGGCATCTCCGGAGCAACGTGGCCGACGATTCCTCTGCCCGAAAATCAACCGCCCGTGTGGTGCAGCACCTATACGTATTTACGAGAGGATGTACAGCACACGTTGTCCCTTGTGCGATACTAGAAGTCCGCAAATTCCGGAACACCTGTGCTGATGGTAGAGGAAAATCCATAGTCCTCCGATCTCGAGGTGAGTTCCTTCTTCGACCTTTGGACAATGATTTACCCCATAATCAGTTGCATATCGTCCCTTTCTGCCATATGGCCCGATGGACTGTGCACTGGGACGGGCGGGACAGATTGTCGCTCTTCGATCTTTGGGACGGGTGTTCCTCGCGAGCGATCGAATTTGATCTTCAATTGCGGATCGCGCTGTCGCTAGCCCAGCCGACCTCAGGCGTCACAAGTCCCGTCTCGAGAGAAAAGGGCACTCATGGCCTACGTTCGCGCGACGGACGTGAGGAAGAACACAGGGGCTAGAAGGACCCCTCGGTCGATCCTGTCGAATCGAAGCAAAGCAAAGCTAGTAACAAGCTTTAACCAATTGTTGCACTTATTAACTCACCATACGCACCTTCCTATGCATCCAGACAGACATGTATGTACTTTGACTTTGGAAGAAAGCTGTCATTCATCAGAAATGCATCGATCTTGCATTCCCTCTAGCTGTTGTTGCCATAATTTGGGCTTCTCTGCCGGTCGTTTTCTGTGAAGTGAAGTCTTGAAAGATGCACTTACACATCCTTCCCAGCAATTCGAAAGTAGGAAGAATTCAAGCTCGAGTTTGTAGCAACCGGATGCATATGAAATGTAAAGTACGGTTGGCGGTGACTACTATGAAAGGGCGAGGCGTGGGAACACGCCAGTCAATTGAGTCGGCAGGAACTCGTCGCAACCCGATGTCGACCTTACTGAGGTGCAGCAGCTGGGATATAAGACAAGAAACAGCCCAGATATCCGTCGTGTTATTCTTGAACCGAGGAAACGTCTCACTTTGATTATGATGTTAACCCTTATTAATATGGATCAATCGTTCCACGGGAACTGAAATACAGGAAACCAAGTTGGTAGTCCTCGACGGAAGAGCCCCTTCCTCTCGCGAGTTGACAGAAACAATAGCTAAAAATGTCCGAACGTTGTAAAGTCTATAGCAGAAATATTAGAAGCGCTGGGGGTATCATGGCGGCGTATGATAAAGACACGACTTTCAAGAGTCTCGTTGGCTAGAATGCGGGATTGAAATCAGCATAAAATTGAAGTCATAGAGGCACTCACGAATTTGAGGTAGAATGCTTGTTCAATTGACATGAACATGCTTCCCAAGTTGGACGGAGAATTTGGGCTTCAAGCCGAAGAACGTGACATAGAGGAACCTGGTTAATTACAGTAAGTAATGGGCCGCGAAGCAGAATTCAAGAATAGCTCGATGAATACCCTGGTATTATTGCACGTCGCTTGCGATGGTCTAGTAGGTACGCCGAATTGACGTGAGCTTCCACGGTTTCTGCTTCACTGGGGCAATTGCACACTCACGAGCGATTCTGGGGCCTTGAAGACTTCACAGAGAGCGTTAGCAGGATCAACACGGCCGTGTAATCTCGATGAAGCGCACTGGTATCCGAACGGCATAGTGTGAACTGCGTAGAAATGGGGAGGAAGATGAGTGTTAAAGCCAACGCGTGTTGACCTTGGCGCCAGGAGCCTTTGTGTTTGGTTGACAGCATGACGTCAAATCCAAAACGCTTATCTTATCAGATAACGCCGTTCATCAACATCGGCGCTAAAAGGTGAATAATTGTAGAATTGTCGAGCACAAATCAATGTGGGTTCGTAGTAAATACTCTTCCCGAAAGCGTGATATTTTACTCGTCTACCGACGGCCAAGGCTTTCCACCTTGAGTAAGAGGATGTGCAGCTGCGACCACACCTTATATAATGTACTGTTCAGAAGCTCTCAGAAATTGGCCGAGTAGTAGGTTTCATTACTGCCCTTAGTCAACTGGTCCAGAAAATCCCAGAAAATTCTGTATTTCTTCGGTTCCCGACCAGAGCCAATGACGAATCACGATGCGTAGCGAGCGAAATAGGGTGCAAACGAAAGAACGGTAACTGGTCTTGAAGCTTGAAGCCGGGAGGTGCCGATACCGCTTACCACTTCCATGGACCTGGATACGCTGATGAGGCTCCCTGATGGGCTCCTCGCGTTGCCCCATGCATGAAAAACAAATGCCGCTTGTTCTCTGGAATGATTAAAAATAGACGCTTAATTATACGGCCTTCTATCATCGACACCCTTATATTGTCAGAAACAGACATCTGTTGACTTTATGAGCTGCAAAATTTATACAGTTCACAACGTAGGTATTTCGTCTCCTTCGAATCGGGCTCTTGGCCCCTCTACAAGCGAGCTGGGATTGCCTTTAAAAGCCAAAGATCGCTGTAACCATCAGAGCGCTCGTCGTATAGTTACCACTGTGTTGGATCATGTGGCGACTTTCCTTGTCGGAGACAAATCCTAATGGCTGATGACTGCCGCTGACATGAGGCCAATGTGCGTCCACGGGGGGCACATAAAAGCCTCAGGATGCACAAGGGAGGGGTTTCCTCCATTCCCCTCTTTTTCTTTGCGTGTGCTGGTCTTCCCCGCTTTTCCCTCGTCTTGCCCGGGACCGGATCCGTTCTTTTCTTCCTTTCCAACAAGCAATTTCACCGACACCGCGTGTCGACTACACCGTGACTTTCATTCTTTCCGTCGCTGCCCTGGTTCGATTCACCGCATCCCCTTAATCCATTCACCTCGAGCCCGGTCTCATATTCATCCTCACCTTCCCCGGTAAAATGTTCTCGAAGCTCTTCACCTCTGGAGCCCTTGTCCTGGCGCTGTGCCTGCAGCGAGTAAGCGCGCACGCCGCCGTGGCTCCCGCTCTCGGCGTCAATGGCACGCCTGTGCGGAACAACTTTAGGCGCCCGAATAACGCGAACCCGTGCGGTGCAGGCATCAACATCGCCAATGCTATCGACTCGTCGACCGCTGTGGCGGCTAACGCGGCGGGCTCGTTCACGGCTACTGCTATTAACTTCAACGGGTGAGTAGGCGGTTACTTGTATGAGTATCGTCGAGCTGCGTCGGTTGCGTCGGTTGAATGCTTACGATCTATTTTCTGGACGGGTACAGAGGAGGGGATGGCTCGCGCCAAGTGACCGCTCGGGTCGACGCTACAGGCACTGGCCAGAACTTCGTGGCGGCGACTGTGACCACCAACGGCAATAGGGTGAGTCTCTTCACATCCATCTTACATATCGAACGGCAGAATTTACTGACTTCGATCAATCCTAGGCACCCAACAACGTCGGATCTGAGCAAATCGTCGCCAGCCTCCCCGCTGGTACACAATGCACGGGTGGACAAGCGGGCAACAGGTGTCTTGTGGTAAGTCTTGGTTCTTGATGGAATGGGCCGGTCAAGCAATTCGTCACGACTGCTGGCTTCGGGAACTGCGTTGTCGTCTCCCAGGGTGCTGGTACAGCCGCTGGAGGCGCTGCGGATGGGGCGGCTGCAGGTGGTGCTGCAGGCACCGCGAACACTGGCAACACTGGCACTGCGAACAACGGCCAGAACCGCAACGGTCGCACTCGTTAACGAAACCGCAACAGGGTTGCTGTATGTTGACTATATCTTTTTCGAGAGGAAAGTTGAGCTGACAGAGCACGAACAGGGAACTCGCGCTGCCCGTGCCATGCTCGCCGAGATCGAGTCGCGGGGCGAAGAAGCAGTCGCGCTCGTCAGACGCAGCCTCACGAGCTGGATCTGGGCGTGAAAGGCCAACCAGGGTGCTGAGGGCGCTGAGGGGCCTTTCGACTCAGTGAAATTGCAGTCCTGAAGTAATGCGTATTTATTTTTTCTCCGATTCATCCTTTCTTTCTTTTTATATGCGAGTTTAATCGTCGCCTGGGTTTGTGTGCTTGTTGTGTACGATATCTTGCACCATAGACGGTGGAAAATGTTAAGCGGGGTTGGCCATTATCGTTTGGGTGGTTGGTGAGCTTGAGTTGGACGGGAAGACGGGAACTGACCAATGGTAGAAACCGTGAACGGGATACGGCACCGCACATGTACATCTCGGTAAAGTCAGAGATCCGAAGGTTGTCGTCATGCTCGTTAAATTCATCTCCATGGAGGAAAGGGCGGAAGATGAGCGGAAAGTTCTGGACGGCTGAGTTGGCGATGATTGATCCCGGAAGGAAGCGATGTAGATGCCGAGCATACTTACTCGACAAGTAAGTATGAACAACAGGGGCACATATGAAGAGGTGTGAAGGGCATAACCTTTGGACAAGGAATGAGGCGGTCTCTGCGCAGCAACTTGGGAAAGCGAGTCAGGAAGAACAGGGAAGTTATATTTGGGCCCAACAGACCGCGGTTTAAAAAAAGATGGTCGCCCTAGGAGCCGTGGCCACAAGTCGTCCGACGGTGAAAACACCCCTTCTGCGCCTGTGCAGAGTCGGTGAAAACGCGCTCGCGAACTTCCATCATCACCGTTACACGTGGACCAACAGGCGCCACGTCTAACGTGCTCCCGATTCCGGGAGTGTGTTGCGATGCGTCGTGTACACCGACGCGTATCACAGAATCGGAGCAAGAATTTGAATGCAGTGGGGCGACGAAGCAGAGGATAACCAGAGTCCACAGAAATGTCCGAATGATGAAAGGTGAAAATAGCAGTCTTTTCCGGTTCAGCGCTGGAATCACTGATTGCAACAGACCCCCAAATCTGCAAGAGTTTTGTTCAAGCTAAAGCTTAAAATTTCGAAATCAGGCTGAGATGTTCGTCCATATCGGCCTCGCGGTGGCCATCTGGAAGCTCCGTTATCAATATGGCGAGCCTAGGAGACACAGCCAGGCGCCCTTGAGGGCGGGGTAGGGGCGGTACAAAGTGGCATGAGAGACATGTCGAGGGCGGTGCGGACAAGGGGCGTTTGTTTGCGCGTGCTTGCATCATCACCCCAAGGGCGGATGCTTAAAAGCTCCTCCTGATCATCCTCCTTCCTCTCCCCTTCCAGCACCGCGTCCTTCGACCCGTTTCCTCTACCGTACATCTCAGGTAAGTACACAACGCCGAAATCGAGCTTGCCATTGCTGACCGCCGTCTCCAATCATCCAGTTTCACGCCCTTCACCGGCATCCCAAGTTCAACATGTGTGGAATCTTTGGCTACTGCAGCTTCTTGAAGGAGAAGGTGCGTTAGGTTTCTTACCTCGATTTCGTGTCAAAAAATGCTGGGAGAATCGTATGGGCGATGTTCAGGTTGAGCGGGACGCGTCCTTGGCCAACAGTACACGCCTCATCCTCAATGCAAGGGATCGATTATCTGAGGCCTCGTGCTAATACACGTCTTTCTCTTCCGCAGAGCCGTAAAGAGGTCCTCGAAATCCTGTGCGCTGGACTCGCCCGCCAGGAGTACCGTGGTTATGACTCCGCTGGTCTCTGCGTTGATGGCGATAAGCCTGGAACCGTTGTCTTTTTCAAGGAGGTAGGCAAGGTCGCCGGACTCCGCAAGAAAATCGCTGCTTCGCCTCTCGATGTTGAAAAAACCTCCATCGCCCAAGTCTCGATCGCACACACCCGATGGGCTACACACGGACCCCCGTCCGAGGTCAACTGCCATCCCATTCGTTCGGATCCCAACGCAGATTTTGTTATCGTTCACAACGGTATTGTCACAAACAGTGGCGAACTGCGCCTCGTGCTTCAAAAGCGCGGCTACAAGTTCGAGACCGAGACCGACACTGAGGCCGTCTCGATTCTCACTAAATACATCTTCGACTCGCACACGGACAAAAAGCTGTCCTTCACGGAGCTGGTCAAGGCCGTTTTGAAGGAATTGGAGGGGTCCTTTGCGTTTGTCTTCAAATCGCGTCATTTCCCCAACCAAGTTGTTACTGCTCGCCGTGGTTCACCGCTCCTGATTGGCGTGAAGACCGACAAGAAGCTGAAGGTCGATTTCGTTGATGTCGAGTTTGCAGGCCAGGACAGCAATGATCCTCGAGCCGAGTCCCGTAAGTTGTTCTAATTAGCTCCTGGGACGCGATTTTAACATATATGCGCGACATTAGTGCAAGCCAACTCCCCCAGTGCACTCCTTGCTGTTCCTTCTGCCAACCCCAAGGTCCTGCGCACACAATCCCGCGCATTCATGTCGGAGGATGGCCTTCCTCAGCCCATCGAGTTCTTCATCGCTTCCGATGCTGCAGCCATCGTCGAGCACACCAAACGCGTCCTCTACCTCGAAGACGACGATATTGCCCACATCGCTGAGGGCGAGCTCCACATCCACCGCCTCAGGCGCAAGGAAGACGGCGACCAGACGCCCAGCCAGATCGCCGCCACCCGCACCATTGAGACCCTTGAGCTCGAGCTCGCCGCGATCATGAAGGGCAAATTCGACACCTTCATGCAGAAGGAGATCTACGAGCAGCCCGAGTCGGTCGTCAACACCATGCGTGGACGCGTCAACTTCGACGCAAACAAGATCACACTGGGTGGTCTGCGAGCTTACTTGCCCATCATGCGCCGCTGCAGGCGCATGGTGTTCATTGCTTGCGGGACTTCGTACCACTCGTGCATTGCGACTCGTGCAATCTTCGAGGAGTTGACGGAGATTCCGGTTGGTGTTGAGCTTGCAAGCGACTTCTTGGATCGCAAGACCCCTATCTTCCGTGATGACGTCGTTGTGTTCCTGAGCCAGAGCGGAGAGACGGCCGACACTATTTTGGCTCTTCGCTACTGCTTGGAGAGGGGTGCCCTCTGCGTCGGTGTTGTGAACACCGTAGGCTCGACGTTGTCGCGTGAGACTCACTGTGGTGTCCACATCAACGCTGGACCTGAGGTCGGTGTGGCCTCTACCAAGGTAAGTCATAATTTTCGTTGAACATTCACAGCGCAGCTGATCATCTTTTTCTTAGGCTTATACCTCTCAATACGTTGCGCTCTTGATGATCGCTCTCCAACTGTCGGAGGACCGCATTTCCTTCACGGAGCGAAGGAACCAGATCATAAACGGCCTTCATGCGCTTCCAGGGCAGATCAAGAAGGTCCTCGAGCTCGACGGTGCCTTGAAGGAGCTTGCTGCTACAGTCTCCCAGAACAAGAGTCTCCTGCTCATGGGCAGAGGATACCAGTACGTGTGGATCGTTTGCAGAAATGACCAGATCGTTGATCATCACCATATCAAATAGATACGCCACCTGCCTCGAGGGTGCCTTGAAGATCAAGGAAATCAGCTATATGCACTCCGAAGGTACGCACATCCCAGCATCTGTCTATTCTTAGGAGACCTCTGACACGCCGCATCGTGCAGGTATCCTCGCTGGCGAGCTCAAGCACGGCCCTCTTGCCCTGGTCGACGAAAACATGCCCGTCATCATCATTATGACCCGGGACTCGCTCTACCCCAAGGTCCAGTCCGCCTACGCCCAGATCACTGCCCGCAAGGCGCAGCCCATCGTCCTCTGTAACGAGGGCGATGAGGGCATCCCGCCCAACAGCAAGACGATCCGCGTGCCCAAGACCGTCGACTGCCTGCAGGGTCTCCTGAACATCATCCCGCTCCAGATCCTCAGCTACCACCTTGCAGTGAAGAACGGGTGCGACGTCGACTTCCCGCGCAACTTGGCCAAGTCGGTTACTGTTGAGTAAAGAAGTAGGGCCGTTGATGGCTGGAGTGTGGCGTCTGCGCCGCGTGTTGTAGGTGATAATCATGATCACGATCAAACGATCGCTGGGACTGTCTTTCTTTTCCTTCGCACTCTCGTTTCAGTCAGATTACCTAGTTCTTCTCTCCTCCCCTCTCGTTCCGACCCCGTCGATAATCAGCGCGCGTACGACTACAAACATAGCTGGACATTCAAGAAAAAGATAGTGTACTTCTACGGACTCTCCTTATACGGATTGAAATTTTGGCTAGTATTCCTTTTAGTTAGTGTATTACTCGAGACAGAATAGATGGACTCTTGTGTTACCCTTTCGGATATTATGTGCTTATCGTCGTGACTCGTCGAATTTCTCGTGTAGCTACATGTCTGCTGTGGCGTTCCGCTTAGAGGCGGCCACCGTTCACGGAGGGATTTATCATCTATAAAACAAGTAAAACTATCACATACGTTTGTTTCTTGACAAGGTCGAGTCATCAGGAGTTTTCCTCTCATCAGATTAAGTCTTCCTCCCACGCACGCGGGAAGCATCCGCTGTTCCCAACCTTCGGCCTTCGTCTAGGTCTACTCGCTTCAAGAAACAATAGCACATATGCGCTTTAAGTCTATGTCTTGTAGTTGGAAGCTGTGGGCGCTGCGAAGAACAAAGTCATTGTGGGCGTTCCACTTTGTGACTGGAGCCGGACCGGTTCGGTGTTGATTTGGACCTTCCTAATCGGGACCGTAAGCGCCCACAACCTATTGACATGGGAAATTACTGGGAAATCTCAGGGAAATCTCAAGGAAACGCTGTCATCCCTCCACACGTTATTCTCATTTCGTAACAATTGGAATTGCTTCTATCACCGTTCTTCCTATGCATCTGAACCCAGACTATAGCTTATCCTCCAGCAAGAACAACAGCGACGTCTCGATGTGGGCGGAGAAAGGATGAAACGTGCGACGTGGAGGGTGCGCTTGGTTCTTGGCAATTGTAAGTCCTTAGAGACGCAGGAATACAATGAAGAAGAAATGACTTGGAAAAGGCTTTTCGGCGAATGGAGGGGGTTTAAAAGGGCGAAGCTTCCTCCCAACTCCCCTCAGAAACAAGCACCCATCGCACATACGCTCCACTACCCATCCTTTACTCAGCGCTATCAAGCTACACAATGTCACACAGAGACAGCGACTCCAGGTCCTCTCGCAGCGGCCGCTCCTCCAACCAGCCTCCCCCGCCCCTGGCCCCTGGTCAGGCATCAGGCAGCGGTCCCGGCGCTCCATACGGCTTCAGCCAACAGGCTGGTTACGCCCAGGCTCCGCAGCAAGGCATCTTCCCGCCTCATCCTTCTGCATATCCTAATCAGCAACATACCCAAGCCCACCACCCGGCCCAGTGGGGGCAACCTCCTTCCCAAGGCCAACAGTACCCCCCGGCAGGGTATGGCAATGCTCCCGCTTTCGCACCTGCTGCCGGTGGTCAGCCACAGATAGGCGGCTATGGGAACGTCGGGCAAGGCTATTCGCAAGGATTCCCTCCCCCAGTCTCCTATCACCAGGGCCAACCAGGACAAGCGCTGAACGCAGAAGGACAATTGGATTCAGCGGACAACTCGTTGAGCCACCGGGACCTTGACACTCTTGACGAAATTTACAAGGCTCGAAAGCTGATTCAGGCTGCAAAGATGTCTTATAGAAGCCTGGCCAAATATAGGCAGCGACATCCACACCTGCAGGTCCAGGTACGGATCACTGCTTCCTCTGAAAACAACACAGGGTTCGGTGCTCATAATTAACCTAGGCCATTTCGTTCTCCAAAATCACAATCGAACACCTCCAGTCAATTGGAGTTTCCTTCATCGAAAAGACGTGCACCGATTTCCAACAGTCGATTATCCCGAAAATTATGATGAAGATGCAACAGAAGAAGCTCCCCATCCGTGTCAACTTTCAGCAGACCTTTGATGGCTTCTGGGCACATGTCTTGCCCTCGCCTTTTGGACTGGTAGCCATGGTGCAAAACGTGCTCAATACTGTGGGGAGAAAGGTGAGTTCTTGCATGCTCAAGCTCAAGGGTCCTTCGTTGATATCTGTCAGCCCGAGGCCCGTGGCAGGATCCTAATTGATCAATTCCTCTTGTTTGTGACCATTTTGTTTCGCCAGCTTGGGGCGATTCCATTTATCTTCCCGGAATTGCACATCGCGTCCTCAACGACTTCCAACACGAATGAGTGTGTAATCCTTGCAGGGGATCGAGCCGCTATCATGATGTCTGGCTCCGTCGATTACGCAATGATCTACACAAACCTAAACGACGATGACCTTGCACGCATGTTGGGAATCTCTGCGAAAGAGGCGGCCAAAGGTAGGTGTACTTCCTTTGTTATGAATTTACGAACATCCTGGAATCTCACCGGATCCACAGTCAGATCCCAGTATCTCTCGACTGGCACCTTATCCGATTTGTTGGAACATAGCGAAATGAGGGGAGTCATGAAGAACGCAAACACTACGCAGATTTTCCTCATTGAGGCGAAGAAGAAGGAACTGAGGCTCGAGGACCGAGTGCCTCAGGTAGTTGCGGAATGCCTGGCAAGGCGAGTTCTTCCAATTCCACTGCTCCTTACGTCTCTGACATTTACCTTCTTATTCTTCAATCAAAATTTGTTTGAAATTAGTCTTTCGAATAACTCCATGGCGTAAGCTCTTTGAATTCATTGATATAAGAGCTCGGCACTGACAGTAATCACTTAATTTCTCTAGGAGGACTCAGCTCCCTTGGTGTTTAACAAATGGCATCGAGTGGATTTTTGGTTTAGTTCAGCTTCAAACCATTGAAGAGCCAAGACGAAGCGGCGCCAGACCGCAAACGCGTGTCGAGCGACAGAGTTATTACTTCCCAACCTTCCAACTCCAGCACGATATGAATGGAAAATTGTCTCAGGCTGACGTCAAGACAGTTTTCATCATGTTAATGTTTTGGGTGAGTGAATACTTTACGACAAATCCTGCTACCTTTAAATCAAGACATCACGAACAGTCCATGGCAACTCCTCGGGAGATTTCTGACTTCGTCAATGATCTTCCTTAGATCTCCCTTCCCCGAGATGCGCGAAAATTCTCCACCACCATTTCGTCCATCATATATGTACTAGCAAATCTTTTCCTTATGGTCGGAGTTCATTAGCGAGGTCCCGTATTTATTTTTGTACTGCTAGGATCACGTTCTGGTTCATATATAGATGCGGTTAACTTAGTGAACACCACTAACAATAGGAAAATCGATTATACAATGGTCTTTGAAGTTGGACAAAGTTATTGCCGCACGTCCGGAATATTCATCCATGCAAATAACCCGGACGGAGTGAGGGCTTGGGGATAGGATAGCATGAGCAATGCCTTCTTTGCCCTGTTCATCTGGCCACAGATACTGGGGCAGGATAATGTCGTCCAAGTAAACGCCCATACCACGATGATAGCCAAACACATGAGGGTGCTGGCTCTTGCTGTTCTCATCCTTTAGCAGAAGCAACATTGTGGGCCCGCCTTCCGAATCAATGAAATCGGCATCTGGGATGATTAATCCCCGTAAACCGTGTTCATCCATCATGACGAATCGTGACGAATCGTGAATAAAGAATGGGCCCGATACAAAGTCGCTTTCGAACGCCCGCAGCTCTGTTTTCCAAATCGGCCGCTCATGGGGAAACTCGTGTTGTGACGGGGGTCTAACGCTTTCTGGCGCACTGAGAAGATCGTAGAGCCGCATCGACTCACTATAGGATGTAAATAACCTATCACCTGGGAGGAGGGATAGTTTCTTCCAAGATGCATGAGTGCTATTATGACAACGAGTAAAAAAAAGGAGACGCACAACCCCTTGAGCACCTGAAAGATACTTTCGTTTGTAGGCCATATTGGTGCCATTTGCGGAAGACCAGTCGACAACCACCGAGCATGCTACTCCAACGCCCCTGTAAAACTGGGCCGAATAAGCAACATATCTGCCACGCAAGTCGAATGCTTCTGTATCTGCAATCGACTCCTCGGGAAATGAGGAAAGACAGTTAGCAAAGAGGCCTTCAATGCTCGACCCCTCCTTATCTCGAAACGCGACGCGCCATATCTGTATGTTCTGCCGAGAAGGCGACACGCGCTCCAATGTCTCTGGATCAAGGTCGCGGAAACGTTGAAGGCATAATCCCAGGTGAAATGTAAGATTTTGCCCATCTTCGTCGCCATCGAGCATGGGGCTCATGTCCACCGACATAAATGCACGGACACGCACGTGCTCTTCGAAGGGTGGCGGTATTAGGGAGTGCGAAATCGGCTGGGAAACATCCAGGTCGTAGTATTCCACAGAGCCATTAGGAGCTACAACCAAGAGCCAGCGACCTCCACGGACGAGGTGCATGCATTCGCCGGTAAATTCTCCTTCCATGAACAGCGGGCGTTCACGAAGAGGGACCCGACCATCCACCAACCAACCAACTTCAGCAGCTTTCCAACGAAGAACCACGGTTTCCAATTCTCTTGACGAGTAGTTTTGAATAGGCTTATCAGGACGAAACGGTTGCGGTGGTGAAATAGACTGCGAGTATTTCACGAATAGTGACTGCCACACCGGACGTGCTTTCGACACTTCGCAGAGGTATTTGCAGGTCTAACGGCACGTGTTCAGTATTCTGGCCCTTCAAGGCTACGCTGCGCCATACCTGTCTCACACGTAGAATGTCATCCCACTCTAGTCCCTTCATTATCTCGATTGATATTTCCAATGGTAGGGCCACCAGGCCAGTAGGTTTGATCCCGACCTACGTGATACCAATTGTTAATGGCCAGATAAGAGCATACGTAGTATCCATCCACTCACCAAATTCGAGAGAATAGGGATCCGTAAAGCATACTGCTTCACAAGAGTTCGGGAGGCGCTGAGCATTGGGACGCAAAAGAATTTCAAAAGTCGGAAAATAGACAAGATTGTGAACCAGATTTTGCTGGCTGTGTAGAGAAAGAGCATAGTAGAACACTCTGATGAAGACGAGAGGTTGAAGGGGAACCTAGCTGGGAGCCGACATGACAATCGGAAAGTACGCCCACAGCCAAATAGGAACAAGCAGCCGGCCCGGTAGTTCAGTCAACTTCGCATGCACAATTGCACGGGGACTTCAGCTTGCATTTTGAGTGGGCCGTCCAAGAGTATGGTAATTAATGGCAGACCTATATATATATACCTCTATAATGAAGCAGATCCCTCGACTTCATGTACGTCTGTTTGTACGTCTGCTCATGCCCGTTTTCCCATTTCGTCTCTCCTCCCTCAGACACTTTATTGTTCTACCCCTAGGTCACTTGTGCGGTGTGGGCCATCGTGTAGCATGGCAATACGAGTCCTTTTTTATCCAGGGACCGGTCCCAGGATTCATTGATAAGTATGTATGTAGTCTCATACCAAGACCGTCAAATCGTCCACTCGACGTGAACTTAGATTCACTGCGTGGTGTGGGTACTATGAAAGTTTACTTATTGTGCGCCAATCTAAGAATTAAAATTCTCGTGAGCTGAGGGGGCCACTTGTCACCGACCAAGAAGATACCATGGATCAGAAACACCTCCATTGCTCAGACCTTAACACAATGCCCTGAATAGAGTCAGGTCCAAGGGGTGTAGATGAGAATTATTACTGCCACATATTGGCTCTCATTTCACCAAGTTCTACTGTCATAGATATGCTATATATTCAGTTAAATGGTATGTAGATCAAACAATTATACGATAGAAAATAATATTCACTCTCGGCATGGAAGAGGAAGACCAGGAGCCAGGGATGATGGGGTTGACCAATGACCAAGCGCAGTGGCAGTAGACAAACACACATGAAACAACACCGAATGCAAGAGTTCAGCATCATTGGTGATACAGAACCCTGACAAGTGGCAAAGGACTTCAAGGAGAATAGAAGGGAGTGAGCGTAAGTATGGCCCACTACGACAACAACAAACAGCAAGCTAACTTACCATTTGTCTTGGCAGTGGGCAGCAGGCAGTGAGAAGACCTACTAATCTTGTGGACTGTGGTATAAATAAGGAGCTGAGAAGAATGGCCATAAACCAGCACCTTCTTTCTGCTCTACATCTCCCTCGTCTCCTGCGAACCAAATGTCAATGTGCTCCTCAGATGATTGTTGATGACCTGGAAAGTAAGAGGATCAAGAAGTCGGCATCCTGGT